CACCCCCCGTCTGTGGTGGAGGCTGGCACCCCCCGTCTGTGGTGGAGCCTGGCACCCCCCGTCTGTGGTGGAGGCTGGCACCCCCCGTCTGTGGTGGAGGCTGGCACCCCCCGTCTGTGGTGGAGCCTGGCACCCCCCGTCTGTGGTGGAGGCTGGCACCCCCCGTCTGTGGTGGAGGCTGGCACCCCCCGTCTGTGGTGGAGGGTGGCACCCCCCGTCTGTGGTGGAGGCTGGCACCCCCCGTCTGTGGTGGAGGCTGGCACCCCCCGTCTGTGGTGGAGGCTGGCACCCCCCGTCTGTGGTGGAGGCTGGCACCCCCCGTCTGTGGTGGAGGCTGGCACCCTCCGTCTGTGGTGGAGGCTGGCACCCCCGTCTGTGGTGGAGGCTGGCACCCCCCGTCTGTGGTGGAGGCTGGCACCCCCCGTCTGTGGTGGAGGCTGGCACCCCCCGTCTGTGGTGGAGCCTGGCACCCCCCGTCTGTGGTGGAGCCTGGCACCCCCCGTCTGTGGTGGAGCCTGGCACCCCCCGTCTGTGGTGGAGCCTGGCACCCCCCGTCTGTGGTGGAGGCTGGCACCCCCCGTCTGTGGTGGAGGCTGGCACCCCCCGTCTGTGGTGGAGGCTGGCACCCCCCGTCTGTGGTGGAGGCTGGCACCCCCCGTCTGTGGTGGAGGCTGGCACCCCCCGTCTGTGGTGGAGGCTGGCACCCCCCGTCTGTGGTGGAGGCTGGCACCCCCCGTCTGTGGTGGAGGCTGGCACCCCCCGTCTGTGGTGGAGGCTGGCACCCCCCGTCTGTGGTGGAGGCTGGCACCCCCCGTCTGTGGTGGAGGCTGGCACCCCCCGTCTGTGGTGGAGGCTGGCACCCCCCGTCTGTGGTGGAGGCTGGCACCCCCCGTCTGTGGTGGAGGCTGGCACCCCCCGTCTGTGGTGGAGGCTGGCACCCCCCGTCTGTGGTGGAGGCTGGCACCCCCCGTCTGTGGTGGAGGCTGGCACCTCCCGTCTGTGGTGGAGGCTGGCACCCCCCCGTCTGTGGTGGAGCCTGGCACCCCCGTCTGTGGTGGAGGCTGGCACCCCCGTCTGTGGTGGAGGCTGGCACCCCCCGTCTGTGGTGGAGCCTGGCACCCCCCGTCTGTGGTGGAGCCTGGCACCCCCGTCTGTGGTGGAGCCTGGCACCAGTCTGTGGAGGAGCCTGGCACCAGTCTGTGGAGGAGCCTGGCACCAGTCTGTGGAGGAGCCTGGCACCCCCCGTCTGTGGTGGAGGCTGGCACCCCCCGTCTGTGGTGGAGGCTGGCACCCCCCGTCTGTGGTGGAGGCTGGCACCCCCCGTCTGTGGTGGAGGCTGGCACCCCCGTCTGTGGTGGAGCCTGGCACCCCCCGTCTGTGGTGGAGGCTGGCACCCCCCGTCTGTGGTGGAGGCTGGCACCCCCCGTCTGTGGTGGAGGCTGGCACCCCCCGTCTGTGGTGGAGGCTGGCACCCCCCGTCTGTGGTGGAGGCTGGCACCCCCCGTCTGTGGTGGAGGCTGGCACCCCCCGTCTGTGGTGGAGGCTGGCACCTCCCGTCTGTGGTGGAGGCTGGCACCCCCCCGTCTGTGGTGGAGCCTGGCACCCCCGTCTGTGGTGGAGGCTGGCACCCCCGTCTGTGGTGGAGGCTGGCACCCCCGTCTGTGGTGGAGCCTGGCACCCCCCGTCTGTGGTGGAGCCTGGCACCCCCGTCTGTGGTGGAGCCTGGCACCAGTCTGTGGAGGAGCCTGGCACCAGTCTGTGGAGGAGCCTGGCACCAGTCTGTGGAGGAGCCTGGCACCCCCCGTCTGTGGTGGAGGCTGGCACCCCCCGTCTGTGGTGGAGGCTGGCACCCCCCGTCTGTGGTGGAGGCTGGCACCCCCGTCTGTGGTGGAGCCTGGCACCCCCCGTCTGTGGTGGAGGCTGGCACCCCCCGTCTGTGGAGGAGCCTGGCACCCGTCTGTGGAGGAGCCTGGCACCCCCAGTCTGTGGAGGAGCCTGGCACCCCCCGTCTGTGGTGGAGCCTGGCACCCCCCGTCTGTGGTGGAGCCTGGCACCCGTCATAACTGGATTACTATGGCAGCGTGCCACAGCAGATCAGAACAAGTAGTCAATGTGACTTACTTCAAGAAACCAAAATAAACTGCCCTCAAGACGTGCCGGACCATCCGGCTGGCATTTACCTTTATTTACTGTGAGGACCACTGTATAGTGGCCCCGATCAGCACAGGAAGCCGGCGTCTTGTCAAAGGTACTGGGACAAGACGCCGGCTGATGATTAGCGCCCTCCTGAGGATTTTATCCAGCTGGATTTTGGAGTTGCAGAAATGTTTTGGCTTTTACAGCTTCGGCGGGTAGGCGGTTCGACGGGTTAAGAACCCTTTGAGTGCGAAAGCATCTGGTGTTCTCGGTCCCATATTGTGGCGTGTTGAGGGTCAAGCCATTACTCCTTGTTTGCAACATCTGACCTTTTGAAGAAATTGTCAGGATCAACATCCTCCAAATTGTTCGGTGTGTTTAAAGTTGGGATGAGATCAGCCTTGTCATGTCTGGTTTGCTGTGTTAGTCCCGTGGCCCTCAACCGTTGCTGGTATGAGAGTCGACTCGGTTCTGGGATGATTTGTGTTGCCCGGTGTTGAACGCTCTCCACAACAGCTGTCTTTCTCAACACGAGGTCTCCATGTGCAGACATGTCACAATAACGGGGCTGAGGATATGGTGACCAAAGCTCTCGTCAGAAAAATGGAGAAACACCGACGACGTTTCGGTCCCTCCAGGACCATTATCAGGTCGTGTGTGATAATGACTTAATATTGGTCCGAGACGGACAGGTTCACGAAGCAGTTACGCAAGCACTTATCAACCTATACATCTTTTTCTCAATCTTTGGCGGCTTTGTTTACAATTATTAAACAGTTAATGAGCTCCGAAGCACCAGGAGGCTGTTTATAACAGTAACAACAGTTGAATGGGAAGTTTTCATGTTTGTAAACTGTTTAATAAATGTAACCAAAGCCGTCAAAGATTGAGGAAAGTTGTGCACGTTCGTAAGTGCTTGCGTAACTACTTGGTGATTCTGGCTCCAGGACGGACCGAAACGACGTAGTTTCCACATTTTTCCTGCCCCGTGTGTGTGTGTGTGTGTGTGTGTGTGTGTGTGTGTGTGTGTGTGTGTGTGTGTGTGTGTGTGTTTGTGTGTGTGTTTGTGTGTGTGTTTGTGTGTGTTTGTGTGTGTGTTTGTGTGTTTGTGTGTGTGTGTGTGTGTGTGTGTGTGTGTGTGTGTGTGTGTGTGTGTGTGTGTGTGTGTGTGTGTGTGTGTGTGTGTGTTTGTGTGTGTGTGTTTTGTGTGTGTGTTTGTGTGTGTGTGTGTGTGTGTGTGTGTGTGGGTGGGTGAGGGCGCACCACACACGGTAACACTGGAATGATTTTCCGTCTTTCTCTTGAGGTCACAGTTTCGTTTGACTCCCCCGAGGGTATTGTGTGTGTGTTTACTGCAGCTCACACTTGTGCAATTTTGTATGATGGGTGAAGTTGGACTCCGCGGGCTGGGTTTTGTTCATCATCAATCACGTGGAAGGTAATGGTGTTGATGTGGTAGTTGTGTACATTGTTATCCCCCACATGCAAGGTGGGGCGTTGTTCGTTGGTATTAAGCATTTGTCAGTCTTCTGACCGTTTGTGGCGTTCATGTAGATCTCTTCTGAAGGCTTTGATATCATCATTGTCACTTCCAACTTTACCATAAATGTTGGTGTCTTCTGGAAAGTTGATGATGGATGTAATCTCTCGTGTATGATTGATTTGAATATGCCAGAAGGTTTTGGACCCCTTGTGGTACCTGGAGGGTACCTGGGAAGGGTTTCGGAAGTTTTTTCTACTCCACAAGCCGGGCCTGAGGCCAGGCTTGACTTGTGATAACTTACTCCAACTGGCTGTTGCTTGGGGAGCGGTCCGCAGACTTGACACATTTCTCCAGTCAGATTCCTTCCCATTTGTCACCACTCTGTTGTGTGTTTTTTAATCCCGGATTTATCCATACTGGGAGTCCTTTGTCTCAATAGTTTGTCAACAGCGACATAAATGTGAGCAGGTTAGTAAGGCAGGATCTATTTTTAACCAACCCGCGTTACGTTGACTTTACAAGACTGTTCACTGTGATACGGTGAATGGGTCCCTCCCTTAGGGGTCTCAACCTGAGCTTGTAGATGTGTGATGTCAAGCTGATTGGGCAGTAGTTTTCTGTCGAGCTCTTTATGGCTTTTTTGAAAATAAGGGCGATATTTGCATGTTTCCAATATGGGTATCTAATGGATACCTGATCAACCAGACTGTGAATCGTACGTCAGGCTGCTGCGAGCAGCCGCGTCCAACAGCCTGGTTGACCAGACCACCAACCAGGAGGCCTCGTCAGAGACCGGGCCGCGGGGACGTTGATCCTCGGAATCGCCACAAGTTAGCCACAATGAAGATAAGGAACTATTTCTTGACCCAGACATTTCGTGAGTATAATTAATTTCTTTATTTTTTTAAATTTTTATTTCGTTGTTTTAACTAATTTTTCATTGATGGGAATATCAAATAATTTGATGTTCCCATTTTTCTGACGGAAACATCAGATCATTTGGGAACGCATCGGATGAGGGAGTGGGGAATGGTGGGGAGGACGAGGGGACGGGAGAGTGGGAATGTGTTGGGAGAATGGGGGGGACAGGGAAGGGTTGCCGTGGCACAGTAACGTGCACACGTTACTGTGCCACAGCAACGCGTGGCCGGGCACAGCTAGTCATTAAGTAAAGGTTGAAGTGATGCAAGATTTCGTGGAGAATATTACCATAGTCCCGGGTGTAAATACATAATGACACACATGACAACAGACGGGCAAGATAGCAACACCCACCATAAACTGTTCACTGGTAATTTACATGTTGATATTAACTTGAACATGTGTCCCTCTTTCCCTAAGGGGTACACCATACTAAAGGGCGACCAATTTTTTCCCGTAGGACGTCTGTGTTGTTCGTGTCTGTGTCGTTCATCATCCTGATGGTGATCTCCTTGGCCTGGCTCATCTTCTACTACGTCCAGAGGTTCCGCTACATCCACGCTAAGGATAGACTGGCTGTGAGTACTGGGGGGGGGGGGGCAGGATGTTGTACCCTACCTTGTACCTGGATACATGGTACAGGTACCTTACCTACCCTGTACCTGGATACATGGTACAGGTACCTTACCTTCCCTGTACCTGGATACCTGGTACAGGTACCTTACCTACCCTGTACCTGGATACATGGTACAGGGACCTTACCCTCCCTGTACCTGGATACCTGGTACAGGTACCTTACCTACCCTGTACCTGGATACATGGTACAGGGACCTTACCCTCCCTGTAACTGGATACATGGTACAGGGACCTTACCTACCCTGTACCTGGATACATGGTACAGGGACCTTACCCTCCCTGTACCTGGATACATGGTACAGGTTTTCTGTTTTCTCACGTATGCAATAAAATGCTTGTTTCTCCGTGTGTGTGTGTGTGTGTGTGTGTGGTGTGTGTGTGTGGTGTGTGTGTGTGGTGTGTGTGTGTGTGTGTGTGGTGTGTGTGTGTGTGTGTGTGTGGTGTGTGTGTGTGTGTGTGTGTGTGTGTGTGTGTGTGGTGTGTGTGTGTGTGTGTGGTGTGTGTGTGTGGTGTGTGGTGTGTGTGTGTGTGTGTGTGTGTGTGTGTGTGTGTGTGTGTGTGTGTGTGTGTGTGTGTGTAATTACCCAAGTGTAGTTACAGGATGAGAGCTACGCTCGTGGTGTCCCGTCTTCCCAGCACTCTTTGTCATATAACGCTTTGAAACTACTGACGGTCTTGGCCTCCACCACCTTCTCACCTAACTTGTTCCAACCGTCTACCACTCTGTTTGCGAAAGTGAATTTTCTTATATTTCTTCGGCATCTGTGTTTAGGTGATGCCGAAGCTGTTAAACTTTAGCTTTAGCTGATATCAGAGGTGGCATACCTCTGATCTTTTTCCAGCTTCGTCTTGTGCTTGACAAGGTACGGGCTCCATGCTGGGGCCGCATACTCCAGGATTGGTCTTACATATGTGGTGTACAAGATTCTGAATGATTCCTTACACAGGTTCCTAAACGCTGTTCTGATGTTAGCCAGCCTCGCATATGCCGCAGACGTTATTCTCTTTATGTGGGCTTCAGGAGACAGGTTTGGTGTGATATCAACTCCTAGATCTTTCTCTCTGTCCGTTTCATTAAGTACTTCTTCTCCTATTCTGTGTCTGGCCTCCTGTTTCCACCGCCTAGTTTCATTACTTTGCATTTACTCAGGTTGAACTTCAACAGCCATTTGTTGGACCATTCACTCAGTCTGTCTAGGTCATCTTGTAGCCTCCTACTATCATCCTCTGTTTCAATCCTCCTCATAATTTTTGCATCATCAGCAAACATTGAGAGAAACGAGTCTATACCCTCTGGAAGATCATTTACATATATCAGAAACAGTATAGGTCCAAGGACTGACCTCTGTGGGACTCCACTTGTAAGTCTCGCATATCTGAGACCTCGCCCCTCACACTGACTCGTTATCTCCTGTTGCTTAGGTACTCCTTTATCCAATGGAGTACCTTCCCTTTCTCTCCAGCCTGCATCTCCAGCTTTTTCACTAGCCTCTTGTGTGGTACTGTATCAAAGGCTTTCTTTCAATCCAAAAATATGCAGTCGGCCCACCCCTCTCTTTCATGCCTAGTCGTGGAATTCAATTAATCCTGTGAGGCAGGACTTGCCATCCCTGAACACATGTTGATGCTGTGTTACAAAATTCTTTCGCTTCAGATGTTCCACTAGCTTTCTTCGCACAATCTTCTCCATCAGCTTGCATGGTATGCAGGTTAGGGACACTGGTCTGTAGTTCAGTGCCTCCTGTCTATCCCCTTTCTTGTATATCGGGAATACGTTAGCTGCTTTCCAAATTTCTGGCAGTTCCCCTGTTGCCAGTGATTTGTTATACACTATGGAGAGTGGCAGGCACAGTTCTTCTGCTCCTTCCTTTAGCATCCAAGGGGAGATTCCATCTGGGCCTATAGCCTTTGTCACATCCAACTCTAGTAAACACTTCCTTACTTCCCCGCTGGTAATCTCAAACTCTTCCAGTGGTTCCTGGTTAACTATTCCATCTCTTATTTCTGGAATATCTCCTTGCTCTAATGTGAAGACCTGAAAAATCTTGTTCAGTTCCTCACACACTTCCTTGTCGTTTGTAGTGAATCCTTCTGCCCCTATCCTTAATTTCATAACCTGCTCCTTTACTGTTGTTTTTCTCCTGATGTGGCTATGCAGCAATTTAGGCTGAGTCTTTGCCTTGCTTGCGATGTCATTTTCGTATTGTCTTTCTGCCTCTCTTCTCATCCTAACATATTCATTCCTGGCATTCTGGTATCTTTCTCTGCTCTCAAGTGTCCTGTTATTCCTATAGTTTCTCCATGCCCTTTTACTTTGCTGCTTAGCTAGCCTACATCTCTGATTAAACCATGGGTTTCTCATCTTCATTTCACTGTTTTCCTTTTGGACTGGGACAAACTTGTTTGCTGCGTCCTTGCACTTCTGCGTGATCTAGTCCATCATGTCTTGGGCCGTATTTCCCCTGAGCTCTGTTTCCCATGCTATATCTGTTAGGAATTTTCTTATCTCCTCATAGTTTCCCTTTCGGAATGCCAGCCTTTTGTTTTCAGTAACCCCTCCTCGAGATCAATAACCCTTCTTCAATCAGGTACTCAAACTCTAGTACACTGTGGTCGCTCATTCCTACTGGGGTCTCAAAACCGATTTCTTATATCGGAGTCGTTCAGAGTGAAGACTAGGTAGTCTCTCGCTGGTTCGTCATTTCCTCTCATCCTTGTGGGTTCTCTGACATGCTAGGTTAAAAAGTTTCTAGTCACCCCCTCCAATAGTTTTGCTCTCCACGTATCCTCGCCTCCATGCGGTTCCTTGTTCTCCCAGTCAATCCTTCCATGATTGAAGTCGTTCATGATGAGCAGGTGGGATCTATTTCTAGAGGCAGTAGAGGCTGCCCTCTCAATTATAGTGTTAACTGCCATGTTGTTCTCGTACTCTTGACTGGGTCTTCTGTTATTTGGTGGAGGGTTGTATATTACTGCTACTACTATTCTTGGTCCTCCCATTGTCATGGTGCCTGCTATGTAGTCTCTGAAACCCTCACAGCCCGGGATAGACATCGCCTTGAAACTCCATTCCTTTCTCATTAGTAGGGCCACTCCGCCTCCTCCCCTACCTTCCCTCTCTTTCCTTATTATTGTGTACTCCTGGGGAAACACCGCATTCGTTATGATTCCTGAGAGTTTTGTTTCAGTAAGTCCGATTACATTTGTGTGTGTTTACTAGTTGTGTTTACTAGTTGTGTTTACTAGTTGTGTTTACTAGTTGTGTTTACTAGTTGTGTTTACTAGTTGTGTTTACTAGTTGTGTTTACTAGTTGTGTTTACTAGTTGTGTTTTTACGGGGGTTGAGCTCTGCTCTTTCGGCCCGCCTCTCAACTGTCAATCAACTGTTTACTAACTACTTTTTTTTTCCCCACACCACACCACACACACACACACACACACACACACACACACACCCCAGGAAGCAGCCCGTGACAGCTGACTAACTCCCAGGTACCTATTTACTGCTAGGTAACAGGGGCATTCAGGGTGAGAGAAACTTTGCCCATTTAGAATTAGAATTAGAATATTTATTTAGGTAAAGGTACTAGAATTAGAATATTTATTTAGGTAAAGGTACATACATAAAGAGATTTTACAAAGTTTGTTGGCTTTATAGATAGAGCTAGTACATACAATGCCTAAAGCCACTATTACGCAAAGCGTTTCGGGCAGGTAAAAACACTACTGACTAAAGCTTAAAACTAATGGGTAAAAAGAAAAAAATGCGTTGAGTACAAATAAAAATAGAGGTAAAAGAGGGGGGAACATTGTTGAAAAAGCAGCACAAATACAATTTCAAATTATTACAGAAAATTACATTCAAACAGCGTTGATTTGAAAAACAAAAAAAAACAAAAAACCAGACATGGGTTGACAATAGAGAGGTAAGGTAGGTTACAGGGAATTTATTAGGTAGTGCTTCGTTTTTATCTTAAACTGGTTGAGAGAGGTACTGTCTTTAACATGGTTGGGAAGGTCATTCCACATTCTGGGCCCCTTGATTTGTAGAGCATTTCTGGTTTGATTAAGTCGTACTCTAGGAATATCAAAACTGTGTTTATTTCTGGTGTGATGCTCATGGGATCTGTTACAACCTTCTATGAAGCTTTTGAGATCAGGATTGGCATTACAGTTCAGCGTTTTATATATGTATAATACACATGAGAGAATGTGCAGTGACTTAATGTCTAACATATTCAGAGATTTGAGAAGGGGTACCGAGTGATGTCTGGGGCCAGAATTGGATATTGTCCTAATAGCAGCTTTGTGTTGAGTAATTAGAGGACGTAAGTGATTTTGGGTAGTAGAGCCCCAAGCACAAATACCATAGTTGAGATAAGGATAGATAAGGGAGTAATAGAGAGTCACCAGGGCAGGGCGGGGTACATAATATCTGATCTTAGAAAGAATGCCCACAGTTTTTGAAACTTTTTTTGATATATTTAGAATGTGTCCCTGGAAATTCAGCTTGTGGTCAATGAGAATGCCAAGGAATTTGCCATCTAATTTGTTATAAATTTGGGTATTGTTTATTTTGAGATTTATTTGATTAGAGGATTTATTGCCAAACGAAATATAGAAAGTTTTGTCAATGTTGAGGGTGAGTTTGTTGGCAGTTAGCCACAGATGGACTTTATTTAGCTCAGTATTTACTGTAGCATTTAGAGCAAGGGGATCAGGACTGGAGTAAATGAAGGTTGTGTCGTCAGCAAATAGAATTGGTTTGAGGTGTTGGGAGGCATTTGGGAGGTCATTAATGTAGATGAGAAAGAGGAGAGGGCCAAGTATGCTGCCCTGGGGAACACCAATGTTGATGGGTAGGGTGGGAGAAATTGTATTATTCACAGAAACATATTGGAGCCTGTCAGTAAGGTAGGATTCGAGGTATTGTAGGGAGTGTCCTCTGACACCATAATGATGTAATTTAAGAAGAAGGTTTTGGTGGTTGACAGTATCAAAAGCTTTACGCAGGTCCACAAATAACCCAACAGGGAACTCATTTTTATCAAGAGCTGTATGAATCGAGTTAAGCATACTAATAAGTGCATCGTTAGTGCTTTTTTTGGGCCTGAAGCCATATTGGCAAGGGCTAAGTATATTGAGTTTGGCTAGATATGAGTAAAGCTGCTTATAGATTAGTTTTTCAAAAATTTTTGACAAGTTTGGCAGGATTGATATAGGTCTGTAGTTGTTAACATCTGTGAGATCACCACATTTGTGGACAGGCGTTACTCTCGCTTTTTTTAGAATATCTGGAAAGGTTTGGAGTTCAAGTGACTTGTTGAAGAGCAAAGCAATAGCAGGGGCTAAAGATCTGGAGGCTTTTTTGTAGATTAAAGTTGGTATCTCCTCAAGGGCACCAGACTTGGTTTTAAGGGAAAGGATTATCTCATTGACGTCAGTGGAATTAATAGGCTTTAGGTACAGAGACTGTGGATAGTTACCTGTAAGATAGTCCTTAATGTCAGTACTGGAAGATGGAATATCATTTGCAAGGGATGAACCAATGGAAGAGAAGAACCTATTGAACTCAATAGCAGAATCAGAGGCTGAAAGCTGACCATCGTTATTAGACAGGAGAGTCGGTTTGTTATTTAAAGACTTCTTTGATCACAATATTTGAGAAATTGTGCTCCAAGTTTGTTTAATGTTGCTCTTTATTTGGGTAAATTTATCTTCGTAGTATTTAGTTTTGGCTCGTCTAATTATCTTAGACAGCAATAATGAGTAATTCTTTGAGAATTCTTTGGAGACAATTCCTAACCTTATACTTCTTTGTTTCTGCCTCGTGCGGGAATCGAACCCACGCCACAGAATTACGAATCCTGTGCGCTATCCACCAGGCTACGAGACCCCTGTGTGTGTGTGTGTGTGTGTGTGTGTGTGTGTGTGTGTGTGTGTGTGTGTGTGTGTGTGTGTGTGCGCGCGCGCGCGCGCGCGTCCATGCGTCTCTCCTATCCCCCCTCTCTCCTTGGCCCCATGTGGTGCCTAATGTGTTGTGTAGTAGAGGTGAGAGAGAGGAGGGTGCCGGCGTCACTAACCATGCCTCACTCTCCCCCACAGCGCCACCTGTGTACCGCCGCCAAGAAGGCCCTGGCCAAGATACCCGTCAAGAACCTCAAGTCTGGAGACAAGGTGAGACCACAAGGCTGCTCTTGGCCCTCAAGAGAGCACACTTAACTCTCAGGTTGTCGTGAGGGAGGCGAGTAACTGTGAGAGGGAAGCCCCTCCACCAGTATAGACCTCTTACCAGGACAAGGGCCTGGGATGTGAGGACGTGGGGAAGGTTAGGTGCCCAACCACTTTGACGCACACCTGCAAGAAGCCAGACCTTAGCTGATTGATTGATGAACATTAAGCCGCCAAGAGGTGGCACGGGCATGAATAGCCCGTAAGTGGTAGATGATGACGTTAGCCTCACTGACTAGTCGTAACTGGCGGGACAAGTCACTTTATTATTAGTTCAGTAATTTGATTGGCTGATTTGGCATTTTGTTTTACAGATATTTGGAAATAAAACATTTGTCAAATTGTATATGTAAATGTTGCTGGTAATTATTTCTGTTCCCGGTTATCCTAATCACCAGTCAAATCTATGGGCCTGACGGCTGAGCGGACAGCGCTCGGGATTCCAAGTCCTAAGGTTCCGGGTTCGATCCCCGGCGGGGGCGGAAACAAATGGGCAGAGTTTTTCACCCTGATGCAACTGTTCACCCTAGCAGCATTAAATAGGTACCTGGGAGTTAGGTGCTACGGGCTCCTTCCTGGGGGTGTGTAACAAAAAGCAGGCCTGGTCGAGGACCGGGCCGCGGGGGACGCTGAGCCCCGAAATCATCTCAAGATGACCTGCACCCGCCGAAGCCGTAAGTAAATTCCAACACGTTACTTAAGTTAAAGTTCACCTGGAAAAAATTTTTGAGGAACAATTGAGAGCCTTTGTCAAGCCGCCGGCTTCCTGTCCCTATCGAAGCCATTGTAAATGGTGGCCTTCTGGTAAATCCATGTAAATGTGCATTCGGTATTCACCGACTGTTGTCATAACTTTTTTACAACTACTTAATTAACATAATAAGTTATCAGTATAACCAATTATATAAGGTTTCATTTTATTAATTATATTGTCTTGGTAGAGAAGACAATGGCAGTAGGGCGTGAGAGAGCGTCCGTCGTCGTAGCTGCTCTATAAGCCAACCCAACCCCACTCTAACAACTCTAAATGAGAAATGGTGTTAAGGCATGTGATTGGCAACACTGTGAGCGCTTCACCGGCCAACACTTTGTGCCTGTGTGGTTACCTAAGTGTAATTACCTAAGTGTGGTTACCTAAGTGTAATTACCTAAGTGTAGTTACAGGATGAGAGCTACGCTCGTGGTGTCCCGTCTTCCCAGCACTCTTTGTCATATAACGCTTTGAAACTACTGACGGTCTTGGCCTCCACCACCTTCTCACCTAACTTGTTCCAACCGTCTACCACTCTGTTTGTGAAAGTGAATTTTCTTATATTTCTTCGGCATTTTGTTTTGTTAGTTTAAATCTATGACCTCTTGTTCTTAAAGTTCCAGGTCTCAGGAAATCTTCCCTATCAATTATATCAATTCTTGTTACTATTTTGTATGTAGTGATCATATCACCTCTTTTTCTTGTCATCTAGTTTTGGCATATTTAATGCCTCTAACCTCTCCTCGTAGCTCTTGTCCTTCAGTTCTGGGAGCCACTTAGTAGCATGTCTTTGCACCTTTTCCAGTTTGTTGATGTGCTTCTTAAGATATGGGCACCACACAACCGCTGCATATTCTAGCTTTGGCCTAACAAAAGTCGTGAACAATTTCTTTAGTATATCGCCATCCATGTATTTAAAAGCAATTCTGAAGTTAGAAAGCGTGGCATAGGCTCCTCGCACAATATTCTTTATGTGGTCCTCAGGTGATAGTTTTCTATCTAGAACCACCCTTAGATCTCTTTCTTTATCAGAATTCTTTAAAGATTTCTCACATAATTTATAGGTTGTGCGTGCGTCCGTGTGTGTACTCACCTAGTTGTGCTTGCAGGGGTTGAGCTCTGATTCTCTTTGGTTCGGAAGTGTGCGTGTGCGCGTGCGTGCGTTTACTGGTAGGAGGCGCGTGGTGCGTGTGGGTACACGGTACACGGTAGCCTAGGGAACACGAGTGTGTGTGTAGTGATAGTGATGGCAACACCGCGTGTAATTGCATGTAATGAATGTAAATAGCTAAACGGAAGTTGTATTATCATAAAAGTAATTGCCCTCTGGCAGGCATTATGAGAGGGTCATTCCGGCACGCATACGGGCACTCACTCCGGGGTCCACCTCGCGCCATATCCGGATTGACCATATATCTGGGTGGCCGTTAAGGACATATTGAGGGCCTAGGGCCAGATTCACGAAAGCACTTACGCAAACACTTACGAACCTGTACATCTTTTCTCAATCTTTGGCGGCTTTGTTTACAATTATTAAACAGTTAATGAGCTCCGAAGCACCAGGAGGCTGTTTATAACAATAACAACAGTTGATTGGCAAGTTTTCATGCTTGTAAACTGTTTAATTATTGTAACCAAAGCCGTCAAAGATTGAGGAAAGATGTACACGTTCGTAAGTACTTACGTAACTGGTTCGTGAATCTGGCCCCTGGGCCCGCGACGTCACCAGGACGGTGACGGGGCTCTGGCCGATGTTAACCGGGTCGTGAGCTTGCTAGGCTTCTGCCGCCTATGGCCAGTTGTGCTGGCAGTGGCTCACAATCACTAATCACGTCACAATGCAGCTGGAAAAATCCTCAGGGAAGGATTCCCTGAAGATTCCCTTTCCACTTCTCCCTTTCCTTCCCTTTTCCACTTCCCTTTCCACTGACCGTGGAAAGGGAAGCTTTGACAAGTCGCTGGCTTCTTGTCTCCATCGAGGCCACTGTAGAGATTGCGGCCCCTAGGGTCAATGTCAAGTAAAGACTATTATAATAAGTTAGGGCGAGTACCCAGTAAGGTAGGCTGTTTTAACTTGCTGTTATAGGCAGTCTCTTCTTTAACAGTTAAAAGGGGGGGGGGCAGGCTTGTATGGAAGCCTCCACGTCCTCCCCCCCTCCCTCAAGGTGACCTCCTCCAGGAGGAAACCCCACAACAGTCGACCAGCATTAATGCCGCTGTAAATAGGTGTTCTTAAGTGAAAGAAAATGTGCCGTGCCATTTCTGTCCCGCCCCAGAATCGAACCCTGCCTCCCCGATTGTGAGTGGATACCGAAGTCAACTGCACCACGACACCGGATACCCATCCCGCGAGCGGGTACCCGGTGCTGGTAATGGTGGTGGTGGTGATGGTGATGGACAATGTTAACCCGTGTGTGGTGGTGTTACAGGAGGTGTCTGGGGACAGTGAGTGCTGCGCCGTCTGCATCGAGCCCTACCAGGTCTCCGACGTCGTCAGGACCTTACCTTGCAAGTTCGTATGTTTCTTGCTTTTGTCTAGTTCATGTACAACCCATACCCATCCTGTTGGTGATAGTGGGCCCCATACCCATCCTGTTGGTGATAGTGGGCCCCATACCCATCCTGTGGGTGGTAGTGGACCCCTATACCCATCCTGTGGGTGGTAGTGGACCCCTATACCCATCCTGTGGGTGGTAGTGGACCCCCATACCCATCTGGTGGGCGGTAGTAGACCCAATACCCATCCTGTGGGTGGTAGTGGACCCCCACACCCATCCTGTGGGTGGTAGTGGACCCCCACACCCATCCTGTGGGTGGTAGTGGACCCCTATACCCATCTGGTGGGTGGTGGTGGACCCCCATACCCATCCTGTGGGTGGTAGTGGACCCCTATACCCATCCTGTGGGTGGTGGTGGACCCCCATACCCATCCTGTGGGTGGTAGTGGACCCCTATACCCATCCTGTGGGTGGTGGTGGACCCCCCATACCCATCCTGTTGGTGGTAGTGGACCCCCATACCCATCCTGTGGGTGGTAGTGGACCCCTATACCCATCTGGTGGGTGGTGGTGGACCCCCATACCCATCCTGTGGGTGGTAGTGGACCCCCACACCCATCCGGTGGGTGGTAGTGGACCCCCACACCCATCCTGTGGGTGGTAGTGGACCCCTATACCCATCTGGTGGGTGGTGGTGGACCCCCATACCCATCCTGTGCGTGGTAGTGGACCCCTATACCCATCCTGTGGGTGGTGGTGGACCCCCATACCCATCCTGTGGGTGGTAGTGGACCCCCATACCCATCCTGTTGGTGGTAGTGGACCCCCCATACCCATCCTGTTGGTGGTAGTGGACCCCCATACCCATCCTGTGGGTGGTAGTGGACCCCTCATACCCATCCTGTGGGTGGTAGTGGACCCCCATACCCATCCTGTGGGTGGTAGTGGACCCCTATACCCATCCTGTGGGTGGTGGTGGACCCCCATACCCATCCTGTGGGTGGTAGTGGACCCCCATACCCATCCTGTGGGCGGTAGTAGACCCAATACCCATCCTGTGGGTGGTAGTGGACCCCCACACCCATCCGGTGGGTGGTAGTGGACCCCCACACCCATCCTGTGGGGTGGTAGTGGACCCCCACACCCATCCTGTGGGGTGGTAGTGGACCCCCACACCCATCCTGTGGGTGGTAGTGGACCCCCACACCCATCCTGTGGGTGGTAGTGGACCCCCATACCCATCCTGTGGGTGGTAGTGGACCCCCATACCCATCCTGTGGGTGGTAGTGGACCCCCATACCCATCCTGTGGGGTGGTAGTGGACCCCCCATACCCATCCTGTGGGGTGGTAGTGGACCCCCATACCCATCCTGTGGGGTGGTAGTGGACCCCCCATACCCATCCTGTGGGTGGTAGTGGACCCCCATACCCATCCTGTGGGGTGGTAGTGGACCCCCCATACCCATCCTGTGGGGTGGTAGTGGACCCCCCATACCCATCCTGTGGGGTGGTAGTGGACCCCCCCACCCATCCTGTGGGGTGGTAGTGGACCCCCACACCCATCCTGTGGGGTGGTAGTGGACCCCCACACCCATCCTGTGGGTGGTAGTGGACCCCCCATACCCATCCTGTGGGCGGTAGTGGACCCCCCATACCCATCCTGTGGGTGGTAGTGGACCCCCACACCCATCCTGTGGGGTGGTAGTGGACCCCCCACACCCATCCTGTGGGGTGGTAGTGGACCCCCCATACCCATACTGTGGGGTGGTAGTGGACCCCCCCCACCCATCCTGTGGGGTGGTAGTGGACCCCCACACCCATCCTGTGGGGTGGTAGTGGACCCCCACACCCATCCTGTGGGGTGGTAGTAGACCCCCCATACCCATCCTGTGGGGTGGTAGTGGACCCCTCATACGCATCCTATAGTGGTAGTGGACCCCCCACACCCATCCTGTGGGTGGTAGTGGACCCCAGTGAACCCCAAGTTCATTCAGCAGCTTAGTAAGTTTGTTGACAAATTAGTTATATCGTTTAATGTTTTATGTCAATAGTTTTGTTTAGCTTAATGCCTTGTTGCACTTATACTGTAGTATTTTAAAGTATTTAAGAGAAGGTAAAGTAACTATAAATTTGGGTGTGTAAATTGTTTATCCTGAAACCCAAATGTAGATTGCAAGATGGTGAGCATAATAGCAAAGTGGGGGGGATGGGACAAGCCGCTGGCTTCCTGTCCTCATTGGGGCCACTAGTGTTAGTGGCCCTTAGGTAAATAGTTGTATTGCCATCTTAGTAAGTGTTCAAGCAAATGCTATGTATCTATATGATATTAGCCATATTATTATAAAAAATGTATTATGAGTGATATAGTACGTATGTGTGTGTAATGCTATGTACTGTAAGTGATAACTATTGAGGCTATTGCTTGCAGGCACGAGTTCCATAAGAACTGTGTGGACCCCTGGCTGCTGGAACACAGAACCTGCCCCATGTGCAAGATGGACATTCTCAAGTTCTATGGCTATATTGTAAGTTTGGATTTGCTTTGTATACCACCTTTATTACCATGTCAAGCATCCGGAGGCTCCCTCCCACTCACGTTCAATATTTTATGTCAATATTTAGATTTTGATTGTGATTAGAGAATTGTATATGAGCTATTTGAGAATAATTCGTGCATTCACTTTAGGCTTGTACGGTTATACAGTACCTGAAATGCTAGGCTACTGTCACCACTCCAACAGATTCAGATTCAGATTCAGATGTTTATTCAGGAAAGGTATATACATACAAGTGATGTTACATTAATGGATTGATATATAGATAGAGCTAGTACATACAATGCCTAAAGCCACTATTACGCAATGCGTTTCGGGCAAGAAAAACATTAATATCTAGAACTTAATACTAATTGAGCATAAAGAATAAAAGATGTTGAGAACAAATACAAATAAAGATAAAAAAAAAGGGGGAACATGACTGAAAAAGCAGCACAAATACAATAGGTTGACAAACAGTGTTGATTAAAAAAAAAAGAAAAAAAAAGAAAATAACAGACATGGGTTGACAATAGAGGAGTGAGGTAGATTACAGGGAATTTATTAGGTAGTGTTTAGTTTTTATCTTAAACTGGTTGAGAGAGGTACAGTCTTTAACATGGTTGGGAAGGTCATTCCACATTCTGGGCCCCTTGATTTGCAGAGCATTTCTAGTTTGATTAAGACGTACTCTAGGAATATCAAAACTGTATTTCTGGTGTGGTGCTCATGGGTTCTGTTACAACCTTCTATGAAGCTTTTAAGATCAGGATTGGCATTATAGTTTAGCGTTTTATATATGTATAATACACATGAGAGAATGTGCAGTGACTTAATATCTAACATATTAAGAGATTTGAGTAGGGGTACCGAGTGATGTCTGGGGCCAGAGTTGGATATTGTTCTAATAGCGGCTTTGTGTTGGGTAATTAGAGGACGTAAGTGATTTTGGGTAGTAGAACCCCAAGCACAAATACCATAGTTGAGATAAGGATAGATAAGGGAGTAATAGAGAGTCACCAGAGCAGGGCGTGGTACATAATATCTGATCTTAGAAAGAATGCCCACAGTTTTTGAAACTTTTTTTGATATATTTAGAATGTGTCCCTGGAAATTCAGCTTGTGGTCAATGAGAATGCCAAGGAATTTGCCATCTAATTTGTTACAAATTTGGGTATTGTTTATTTTGAGATTTATAAGATTTATAAGATTTGTTTATTTGAGATTTTAACACTGTAGGCTTTGTGAAGAGGAGGGAGTCTAGTATTGCAGGGGGGAAGAGGGAACGCAAGTCACGTTTCGATCCCATTTCTCGCCATGCTCCCTTACTCCATTGTACCCCTGGCTTTGCCTGCATCTCAAATTGCAAATTGTGCAATTTGAGATGTCAGTGCATTAGTCAGTGCATGACTACAACCTCCCATCGAACACCACAATTCCCTGATGGGGGGAGGGGAATTGTGCGCTCCAAGAACCCATATGACAGCGTTTTGTGAAGCTCCTCTTTTGGTCAAAGGATAGGAGACAGACTAAGTGCTTAAATTTCTAGGGATAATCTCTACCTGTGTAATCCTGTTGGTGGTGGTGGGTCAGAAAGCAATTCATTCTCGTGAGCATTCCCAACGTCGAAAGCTGTCGTTGTAATGTGTTTCTTTAACCTAACCAACCAGAGGAACCACACACAAAAACGGGGAACATTTTGATCAACCTCACGAGCCACTACCATTTTCTTGTATGTCAGTTTCTGGACATAGTTAATGGTATACGTCAAAATGCGCCGTGCTATAAAGAGAATGGGTTAGTCTAGACTAGAGCATCATGTTCTTTTAAATCTCCAAGTCAGGGGAGTCCAGCTGAAATTTTTGTATTTTTTTGTGAAAATTATTTGTTCTCTTACCTGTATTCTTGCCTTCCCACTCCTACACATGATTTTTGACCCTACTTTATGACTATGATCTTCGTTTTCACACTTTGACTCCACTGCTCGGCTCAGCTTCTTTGACCCCACTTCTTGGCTCTGCTCCTTGACCCCCACTTCTTGGCTCTGCTCCTTGACCCCCACTTCTTGGCTCTGCTCCTTGACCCCCCACTGCTTGGCTCTGCTCCTTGACCCCCCACTGCTTGGCTCTGCTCCTTGACCCCCCACTGCTTGGCTCTGCTCCTTGACCCCCCACTGCTTGGCTCTGCTCCTTGACCCCCCACTGCTTGGCTCTGCTCCTTGACCCCCCACTGCTTGGCTCTGCTCCTTGACCCCCCACTGCTTGGCTCTGCTCCTTGACCCCCCACTGCTTGGCTCTGCTCCTTGACCCCCCACTGCTTGGCTCTGCTCCTTGACCCCCCACTGCTTGGCTCTGCTCCTTGACCCCCCACTGCTTGGCTCTGCTCCTTGAACCCCCACTGCTTGGCTCTGCTCCTTGAACCCCCACTGCTTGGCTCTGCTCCTTGACCCCCCACTGCTTGGCTCTGCTCCTTGACCCCCCACTGCTTGGCTCTGCTCCTTGACCCCCCACTGCTTGGCTCTGCTCCTTGACCCCCCCCACTGCTTGGCTCTGCTCCTTGACCCCCCACTGCTTGGCTCTGCTCCTTGACCCCACTCCCCATCCCGCTCTTTCAGCCCATTCTGTACTGCCCTCTTATCCTCCTTTCATTACTGTACATTTCAAAGAACTACATGAGAGTTTACTTACAGCTAAGTGACAGTGAAGAAAGTGTGCTGCAGATAGACATGCTGGAGGAGAACTCCAGTGTGGACGTTGAGGCCCGTCTTCCCACACCCCCTCCACCAGCCTCGAACCCCCGCACACCTCCCATCTCTCAGGTCAGTGACCCCTTGCACGCCTTCCATCTCTCGGGTCAGTGACCCCTCGCACGCCTTCCATCTCTCAGGTCAGTGACCCCTCGCACGCCTTCCATCTCTCGGGTCAGTGACCCCTCGCACGCCTTCCATCTCTCAGGTCAGTGACCCCTCGCACGCCTCCCATCTCTCGGGTCAGTGAACCCCCGCACGCCTTCCATCTCTCAGGTCAGTGACCCCTCGCACGCCTTCCATCTCTCAGGTCAGTGACCCCTCGCACGCCTTCCATCTCTCAGGTCAGTGACCCCTTGCACGCCTTCCATCTCTCAGGTCAGTGACCCCTCACACGCCTTCCATCTCTCAGGTCAGTGACCCCTCGCACGCCTTCCATCTCTCAGGTCAGTGAACCCCCGCACGCCTTCCATCTCTCAGGTCAGTGAACCCTCGCACGCCTTTCATCTCTCAGGTCAGTGACCCCTCGCACGCCTCCCATCTCTCAGGTCAGTGACCCCTCGCACGCCTCCCATCTCTCAGGTCAGTGACCCCTCGCACGCCTTCCATCTCTCAGGTCAGTGAACCTCCGCACGCCTCCCATCTCTCAGGTCAGTGAACCCCCGCACACCTCCCATCTCTCAGGTCAGTGAACCTCCGCACGCCTCCCATCTCTCAGGTCAGTGAACCTCCGCACGCCTCCCATCTCTCAGGTCAGTGAACCCTCGCACACCTCCCATCTCTCAGGTCAGTGACCCCTCGCACGCCTCCCATCTCTCAGGTCAGTGACCCCTCGCACACCTCCCATCTCTCAGGTCAGTGAACCCCCGCACACCTCCCATCTCTGAGGTCAGTGAACCTCCGCACGCCTCCCATCTCTCAGGTCAGTGACCCCTCGCACACCTCCCATCTCTCAGGTCAGTGAACCCTCGCACACCTCCCATCTCTCAGGTCAGTGAACCCTCGCACACCTCCCATCTCTCAGGTCAGTGAACCCCCGCACACCTCCCATCTCTCAGGTCAGTGAACCCTCGCACAACCAGATAGTGCAAACCCTCATAGAATACTATAAATGGTAGAATAATAAATGGTAGAATAATAAATGGTAGAATAATAAATGGTAGAATAATAAATGGTAGAATAATAAATGGTAGAATAATAAATGGTAGAATAATAAATGGTAGAATAATAAATGGTAGAATACTAAAATTGATAACACATTGGTTGAAACAAAGAAAACAAAGCTTTTTTCTTCCTTAGTATGTTTTGCCCCCTCACACCTTTGTTTATTTTTGTTTTCTATTTACAGGTATTTTGCTTTTGCCTGAAAAGCTTTGCATAATAGTGGGTTCATAGATTGTGTAACTCCTGTCCCTACAATTTTTACATTACTCTTAAGTTCTTTGTACACACATTCTTTTGAATAAACATTGTATTGTATTATATTGTATTGTATTGTATAGGGTCCTACTAAATGGAATGGAATCTGACTGGAGAAATGTGGTAAGTGGAGTACCTCAGGAGTCCATTTTGGGGCCAACCCTTTGTCATTTACATCAGTGACATAGATGAGAGTATTACAATCCACATCATCAGATTTGCAGGTGACAGAGATATATGGTAAAGTAGGAAATAATAATGATGTTGGAGCCCTACAAACAGATCTATATGAACTCCACCAATGATCAGAAGACTGGCAAAGGCTTTTTAATATTGGCAAATGCAAGACCTTGCATGTGGGGCATAACAACCCATGCCACCACTACCAAATTGATAACATTCCATTACAGCAGATTGATGAAGTAAGGGACCTTAGAGTCAGGATTCACCACTTACTGAAAGTTGCACAACAGGTAGGAGCAGCAGTCAGAAAAGTCAACCAAACCCTTGGAACAATCAAGTGTACCTTTGACTTTAAGGAAAAGAAGGTAGTGGTTCAACTGTATAAATCTCTGGTGCTTCACCCCACTCCTCGGCTCTTCTCCTTGACCCCACTCCTTGGAGCTGTTAAGACATTTGAATTACTGTATCCAAGCATGGACACCTCATCTTCAGGAGGACATAATTGCTCTGGAGAAAGTGCAACACTGGGCAACAAAAATAATTCAAGAGCTGAATCATAACCTTACCTCTTATGGTATTTGTGTTTGGGGTTCTACTACACAAGATCATTTATGTCCTCTAATTACTCAACACAAAGCTGCTATTAGAACAATATCTAACTCTGGCCCCAGACAGCACTTGGGACCCTTACTCAAATCTTTGATTATGTTAGATATTAAGTCACTGCACATCCTCTCATGTGTACTCTATATATTTAAAACTCTGAACTGCAGTGTCAATCTTGACCTTTAAAAGTTTCCTAGAAGGTTGTAATAGAACCCATGGGCACCACACCAGAAACAAATACCTAATTTGATAAATGAACAAATCCACAAGGGCCGTGACAAGGATTCGAACAATCGACTTGGATGCTCCCGGACGTAGGTTCGAATCCTCGTCACGGCCCTTGCGGATTTGTTCATTTGATGTATCGCGCTATTGTGATTTCTGTGTGTACCTAATTTGATATTCCAAGAGTGTGACTTAACCAAACTAGAAATGCTCTACAACTCAAGGGACCCAGTGTAATAAACTAGGCTGGTTGTAAGAATTATCCAGAGTGGTTTATCGACAAAAGAGAATGGGAAGCTGGACCCGCGTGGTGACCCGGGACCTGACCCCAGGGAATTCGCGGTGAAAATAATCGACGCCTTGTTCATAGCTTCATATAATGAATCATCCTATAGTATTCAGTAATTTAGAGAAAATAGTCTTTATTCAGGTTGCATTCAAATTGTATTATATAGTTATAATATCAAGAGTATTCTAATTATTGAGTTAAGTCACCATCAGTGACGTCACGAATCAGATCCAAGTTGTAAGGCGGAGTGACCGGCGGTACTCACCTAGTTGTACTCACCTAGTTGTGTTTGCGGGGGTTGAGCTCTGGCTCTTTGGTCCCGCCTCTCAACCGTCAATCAACAGGTGTACAGATTCATGAGCCTATCGGGCTCTGTCATATCTACACTTGAAACTGTGTATGGAGTCAGCCTCCACCACATCACTTCCTAATGCATTCCATTTGTCAACCACTCTGACACTAAAAAAGTTCTTTCTAATATCTCTGTGGCTCATTTGGGCACTCAGTTTCCACCTGTGTCCCCTAGTACGTGTGCCCCTTGTGTTAAATAGACTGTCTTTATCTACCCTATCAATCCCCTTCAGAATCTTGAATGTGGTGATCATGTCCCCCCTAACTCTTCTGTCTTCCAGCGAAGTGAGGTTTAATTCCCGTAGTCTCTCCTCGTAGCTCATACCTCTCAGCTCGGGTACTAGTCTGGTGGCAAACCTTTGAACCTTTTCCAGTTTAGTCTTATCCTTGACTAGATATGGACTCCATGCTGGGGCTGCATACTCCAGGATTGGCCTGACATATGTGGTATACAAAGTTCTGAATGATTCTTTACACAAGTTTCTGAATGCCGTTCGTATGTTGGCCAGCCGGTCATAGGTCATCGGAGTTGACATGTCCACTATTTCTCGAGGTCAAATAGCCATTTGGTGATCGGGAACAGCTCGGCCGTTAGATGCTTGTGTAATTTAATTTCAGTAAAATAATTCAACCAGTCTGGATCAATTCAGTGCAAACAGAGGTTAATTGTTAAACTTAAGCCTTGCTAGTAACTTGGTAAAACTTAGACTATGCGGAACAATACTCTGCTCTGGGCTCCTGGAGCATCAGAGAGAGGAGAGATCAGTGTGGACTCGAGATCAACTGGGAGAGGTCAACCATCTTACCTCTCCCCCAAGACCAGCCCCAACATCTGAGCTGGTCGCCCAAGGTAGAGTTGCTTTATGAGTTTTTATAGGGATAGTCAATTCATTGCCGTTCAGGTCAAGTAGGGAGTGATAACTATTTAGATTTTGTTTTAGTTTTTCTTTTAATAAATTAATTAGTTAATATTCTGCATTTTTATTATTTCCATGTGTATGTTATATTTATGTGAAATTGTCCTGGTCACGTGGTCCACACGAGGCAGAGTTGAATTGGGCGCCGATTCTAACATCGAATCGGAATTCATCATTCCCGTTTAATTCCACACTCAAGTTCCCAAGGTTATGTTATAGTGGGGATCAAGCCCCAAGGTTGATTAATTAGCATGATCGATCCAGACCTCGATCATTGCTCAGTGTTACTGGTCTGGTGGTGGCGGCGGAGGCGACTCTAGGGTTTTGCTCAAAGCCTATGTCACGTCATACGGGTTGTAGAATCCTAAGTCGGTCAATCGTCTTAGGACCACGTGGCGTGGAGTCGGCTTTAGTAAAAGTTTTGGAGTCCCTTGGTAGAGAATAAAAAGTAAGAATACGGGTAGAGGGGGAGAAGAAGGAAAGATAAGTCGAGAATACCCTCCCTGTGTTACACCAGAATGTGGAATGACCTCTAGAATCATGTTAAAGGCTGTATCCCTCTCATCCAGTTTAAGAGTAGAACTAAGTACTACTAAATAACCCCATGTAACCTACCTTACGCCCTAAATGTCAACCCATGTCTTACTATTCTAAACAATGCTGTTTGTTGACCAACTTGTACAATTATTGATTTTTGCTATGTCCCCCACCCCCCTCCTTTTTTGCTTTTTTTTTTATTCTTTTTTTTAAACACAATTTATACTTTATTCCCAATTACTATTAAGTTTTAGTCTAAATGTTTTTTCTCCACACCTTGCCCAAAACGCTGTGCGTATTAGTGGCTTTAGGTATTGCATGTACTGTACTAGCTCTATCTATAAATCCAACAGTATGTTTGTAACTCTGCATTTATGAATGTACTTTTCCTAAATAAAATATTTTTATTTTTATTATTATTATTATTATTATTGTTATTATTATTATCTCATATTGAGAACAGTTGAGGGCCACATGGCTAACAACACTGCAAACTAGGCATGACTGGGCAGATCTCATTGAAAATTTTAAAATATTGAATACTTTGGAGGATGTTGAGCCAGACAATTTCTTCAAAAGGTCAAATGTAACACAGACAAGGAGCAACAGTTTCTAGCTCAACAGTTTACTATGTAGAACTGAGAACAGGAGATGCTTTTTCATCCAGAGGGTTATAATCGCATGGAACTGCCTATCCACCAAAGCCATAAATGCCAAGACTGTTGAATTTCAAAATCCAAGTGGAAAGATTATCAAAGCAAATTGAGGGGACCTTCGACAAGCCACCGGCTTCCTGTCTCTGTCGAGGCCACTAGTGTAAGTGGCCCTTCAGGTAAATTCATGTAAATAATTTATTGTGTTATGAGACAGGCAACCAGTTTATACATACAGTACAGTACAGTACACGTTAGGTTTATATCGAGATCCCTTCCAGGGTCGAATTACTGACCCTTCCTTGAATGCCACCCCACAACAGGCTGACTAACTTTTATTTACTGCTTCGTGAATAGGGGTATTTGGTTGACCAGACCACACACTAGAAATTGAAGGGACGACGACGTTTCGGTCCGTCCTGGACCATTCTCAAGTCGATCACACAATCGACTTGAGAATGGTCCAGGACGGACCGAAACGTCGTCGTCCCTTCAATTTCTAGTGTGTGGTCTGGTCAACATACTTCAGCCACGTTATTGTGACTCATCGCCTGCAAAGGGGTATTTGGTGATAGGAAATACACCCAACTATTTTTGTCCTGCCCAGGATTCGAACCCGGATTCTTAATTGAGTCGAGAACGAACCCAACTGTATGACCAGGACCCTTATGCTATGTTTGTATATCTGTCCCAAAAATATTGGATTTTGAAAATTTCTAGTGGTCCGATAATGCACCCCCCCTCCAGTATGTAGCAGTGCACCTATGGAAAATTCATTTCGTACTACAAATAAATATTAGACGAACACATTTACAGAATTTAACCCATTCGTAGTAGGGAGACTACCTGTATTGTACTTGATATCATCTTGCCTATCACCTTGCATAGCTACATTATATAGTATATTAACACTCTCACTCTTTCTTTACATGACTTGATAATGGCCCAGGACAGACCAAAACATTACCACCACTTTTATTTTTAGATGTATGGGGGTGGGGTATCTTATAAATAAATTACCTACTTATATTAAGTCATGCCCAAAACGTTCTGTGCATTAGTGGCCACATATAATTTACATTATGTATTTACGGATAATCCAGTGTGTTGTATTTCTTGTGTGTTTTATATAAATAAAATTTATTACTGTATTTATATTGGATTTCAGGTTATGGTTGTGCCACGAGCCGAGGTATCTAGTGCCAGTGCACCTTGTGAAGCTTGGTCTGACTCGCCCGTCCCAGACACGCCCATCTCGCCCGTCCATCAGCCGCTGAGTGCGGTGTCGCCGTGTTCTGCTACTTCATCGAGTTTATTTTCTAAGATTAGCTCGGCAAGAACACGAACCTCTCCTTCCTCAAGATCGTCTCATTCTAGTCAAGTTGCCCCATCATCAGCAACATCATCTACATCATCTAATGACACGCCTCAATTAGATAAAGGTAATAAATAAATGATTATGGTAGTTCTTAATACTCTGAACAGTATTAAAATATTGTAACGTGCATTAATCCACAAATATGGTACTGTAACATGATTGGGTCACTGTACAGTACTGTATTTAGGATGATGGCTGTATAGGTGATCATACTTTGGTGTGGTATTATCATTATTATATTATTATTATTATTATTATTATTATAATTATTATTATTATTATTATTATTATTATTATTATTATTATTATTATTATTATTATTATTATTAATGCTTTATTTATAAGATTACAAAGGTTGATGATATAATGATTACTTAGTATATCCAGTAATTGTATATTATATAGTCACTAAGTATGCACAATGTAGATATAAATGACAACATAATTAAGTTCAATAGTAATTTAATTGTTTCTCATTTAAATTGTTTAAAGCTGTACAATATTTTATTGTATTTGGGAGGTCATAGAACAATTTAGGATCCTTTGTTTGCATGGCATTTTCCTTCTGCTTTAACTGGAATATTGTAACATGAAATAGATTCACCGAGAGTAATCACACTAATGTGATTGCATCAATGAGAAAATCCGTAGTAGCCGTGATGAGGATTCGAACCCATGCGGTGGGTGTTCCCACGCTCTAGACGACTAGACCATGACATGGTCTAGTTGTTAGACCGTGCGAGTTCATGTGAAATACCATGTCGTGGTCTTGTTTTCTAGAGCGTGTGCATAGGAAAACACACACGTCGAACACTCATCACGACTCCTACAGATTTTCTCCTCAGATTCTTGTCTCTTGAGGTTTTTATGGACTCTGTTGCAGCCCTCATAAAAAAGTGTTCTTTGGAAATAACTCCTATCCTATTTTGTTTTCTTTTGATGCTTTTTGGAAAGAAATGCTTTGAACATGTTTGAGATAACTTTGTTTAAAGTTATTCTAATGTGTTCCATCACTGTAGTTGAAACAAGTGCAGGTTTGTTGTGGTTGCTAAATTGATAGATACTGTATATGTAATTACTTCGATCCTTCAAGTTTCCCCCAAATTACAAAAAATAATACATTAATACTGTGTGATGCATTTTAATATTATTTCATGACCCTTTTTTAACTGATTAGTAGTTAGTTGACAGCTTGGCAGATGCCTAGATTTTCCTGGTGGGCCAATTATTGAGGACCAATAGGAAAGTGACTTTATAGTACAGCTGGCTTCATTCCCGATTCAGTCTGGGATCCCAGTTTAATTCTCGGTCAGCACAGAAATGGTTGGGCATTTTTATTTTCACTTAATACCTTTGTTCATCTAGCAGTTAATAGGTATCCAGGAGGAAGACAACTGTTAAGGGGTTGCATCCTGAGGGAGGGTCCCGACAAAGCAAATTTCTGTACCTATTTTTGATAGCTAGGCAAGCAATACTACAATAGTAATGGTTTTGCTTAATAACTTTCCTAAATCTGATTGACTACATAGTGTGTTTCAAGGAAGGGTAATGAAGCCAGGTAATTTACCTGAGGCCCACTAACACTAGTGGCCTCGACAAGGACAGGAAGCCGGCAGTTTGTCAAAGGCCCTCCCCCCATTTTCCCTGATCTTTTCTAGTTGGAATTTAAGAGTTTTGTCATTTACGGTAAGTAAAGGAAGGAAAGGCAGAGCACTTGTAACATCCAAAGAAATGATGATCTGTCTTTTCAACTCGCAATTGAGGAGCCTAGGTTTAGTACTCAGATGGGAGTCATTTTTAGCACATTCCCATTCACATTAAAGACATCTGGTAGCATTCAAGTATTGAAAATCTGTTGCACAATAGGTTTTACCTAAATTTATTCAAGGGCCTCCATCTCTAGTGGCCGTGATGGGGACAAAATGCTGATTGCTTATCAAGGATTCTCCATTATTTCTGAGGATTATTTCCAATTTTTATTTTCAACTAAAGTAACGTCTTGGCATTTGTAGCTTCAGCAAGTAGATGATTCTATGAGTCTATTACTCTAAGGGTGAAAGAATATGTTATGTCTTACATTGTGGCTGCTTGTGCCTGAAGTTGTTAATCCTTGTAAGTTAGATTGAACATTATAAAGAAGTGGTCCTAATTAATATTCAAATCCAATTTTTTATTATTCGGGTAAAAGTACATGCATAGAAGATGAGTTACGAATATGTTGGATTTATAGATAGTTAGTTCATACAATACCTGAAGCCAATAATACACACAGCATTTCAAGCAATTTATTCAGATTTTTTCAGAAATTTTTCCAGGATATTCAAATATCTTTCACTTTGTTCAATATTTTAAAGATCATGATGAGATTAGATCTTGCTTGTCTGATTTGTAGTGTTAGTCTGAAGCCTTCAACTTTTCATGATATGAAAGATGACTTAGTTCTGGGATGAAGGTTGTTGCCCTACATTTGAAATTTTAACAATTCAGAAATCTCCTCTTGGAGGCGAGGTGTCTGGCTGTGGTAGTGTAGCCGAGGATTGCACCAGAGATTTGTACAACTGAATGACCAGGTTTTCTAAATCAAAGGCTTGCCGAGTATTGGGTATGAACTGTGTGAAGTATTAGGTGTAGTTTATTTACATTGCAAGGATATGCTCATTATAGTATTATTTATTTTATGTACAGAAATGCCTGTAGATGAAACAGGAAATGCAGGAGAATGTGCTTGTGATAATAATTGGAACAAAAATGAGACAGAGCTGTCATCCGTGTGTTCTGATGATTTTAATGATGCTGTAAGTACTCACAGTGCATCAGGCACCATAGATGTTGAAACTGGATTGGAATGCAAAGAGCCAACCAGTGCCAGTATGAACAGTGCCACAAATTGCTCATATACAACAACTTGTGAGGTAAGTTCCTAATTAGTCCTTTGAAATTGGCAAAATAAAATGTCTTTCCTACAGCAAATTCTGTATTGTTAATGGCCCTGTAAGATCAGGAACTGCATTTCTACAATCATTATAATCATATCAAAATGGACATAATTTTTTGCTTAATTCTTATATCATACAATATTTTTCTCATCAGCATGAAGCAGAAACCCCTAGTTCAAGTGTCACATCATCCGTCCCATCAAGTGCCCCGACCAGGCCACCTTCCCCAACTGCTTCACACACTCATAAAGGATCAGCTTATCACAAGAGGCCAGCATCCCGAGCAAGGGCATCATCAAAGAGGAGGTCAACGTCTCGAGCAAGGTCTACATCTAGAAAGCGATCAGCGTCGCGTACGAGATCTTTGTCACGAGGACGATCAAGCACTAAAGAATTGCCCTCCTCCAGATCGTCAAGAGAACAGTTACGTCCTTCCAGTCAAGTTGTTAGTGTGTCTCATGTATGATGCATGAAAGCCTTGATCTAAAAGACATTTTGCTACTCTCATGTTTTTTTAGTGATAGTGCTTCCTTGTGCTCTTGGAAGACCAAACAGTCTGTGATTTGACCTGAAGGTGCCATCATGTTATGTTTCTAAGCCACAGTGTCAGGATTTTTCAAGCTGTGAATATTGAAACTTCCACACCTTCCATTTATTGAAAAATTATATCTGTAGTTATTCAGTGTAAAACTATATTGTAAAGTGTGCCTAGAACCATTTGTTTGCTAATAACGACGGAATTCCGCAGTAAGCTGTGACAGTAGAAATAATTTTAAGTTGGAAACTTAAGATTTTGAAGACCCCAAATTCATATTACAGCAAGCTAAACTATACCTTATAATTATCCTCAAAGAAGCATAATAGGTTAACAACCGCATGTGTGATTTTAACTAAAATTTAAATAATTCTCTATATAATGTACTTGAGCAGTTATATACATAAAAGTATATAATTGTTTAATGTGTGAATGAGTAGTTTTTGATGCTGTATATGCGGAAGAATAATAATTTAAAGAAAATGCAATATACATATTCACATAGAAAACTGCATGTACAGCATGCTATTTTCATCTGTTTGGATTTCTTGAATAATATTTGTCAGATATACAATACTTTTCAGATATTCTGGAAAAAAAGGATGACTGCAATTTGCTGGAAAGCTTTTGTATAGCTCATTTGGAAAGGTGTAATCACCCAAGTGAGAACTTTATTCTCCTCTTTTAGGCCACAATTGTAATTTGAGAACTGTCTAAATGGTTTGCTGAATATATATAATTTGCTCAAGTTTCTTAATTATGTACATTATTTCATTCATAGCTTTTATCTAGTTTGTGTTGTACTTGTGAAAATACAGTGATACCTCCCGAATTCAGACCTCCCTATAATGGATCGCTCTAAATATCAGATAAAATTCAGCCATTGGATCTTTTGTTTTTTTTTTTTTTTTTTTTTTTCCTCTCCCCCCCCAGTGTCAAAATTTTCAGAAAGTTTGGATTCCAAAGGGGACCCTCTTGTGAAATGTGGATCATTAGGCAAAGTAAATTCCTGTAGATTATATTTGCTCTAAATATTCCATATATTTTTCTAATATATGGTAATAAGCAAATAGAGCACCTTTCTGACAACCTAGATTTCACATGAATATGTATCTGGTCTCGAATGATAAACGTTCTGATTTTGGAGGTGTGGTTGTATATAAACAATACAAGACTCTCGTATAGACTGTTGTACTTGTCACCAACAGTAATGGCATTATGAACTTAACTACGTATAAATATTTGAGTAATTTTATTCTCTGGAATAATTACATCGGTGAAAATATTTATTATCTAATATTTTTGCTGTAGCAAATGTACCTGAAAATAATGAAATTGTATTTTATTTAAGAGGCCCATTAGTTTCAAAATATAAGTGTATAGTTACAAATTTTTGTTTTGTCCATTAACTTCAATAGTGCAAATTGGTCCCATAATTCTACTCAAGTGGGTTGTTACAAACAAGTCCATTGTTTGAAAACTAGAGGGTTAAAAAAATTAAATATGTACAGTAGTACTAAATACTGTAACTACTGACTTTCTGTGATTCATTTTGGCTGCAAATGTGAGGAAATGTACAAGGTTATGGAACCAATTACCGGGTAACATAATACATGTGGGATCTCTGGATTATTTTATATGTATGCAAGACATGTATATGTATGAGTTTGCATGGTATAAACAAGGCATTGCCTTCTATGGGGAAATTTGCCTTCTGCAGCTTCCTTAATTCTTATGTTCTCATCCCGTAACTCAATTTTCATTCATCACATGGAACTGATTAATGTAAAATTGTTAATGTCTAATGACACACATCATTACACTATGGGTAAATTTTTGAATATCAATGCAGTTTATGTGCAGTGAATTTTGAATTGAGATAAAGAAACGACAACACTACGTTTTTCTGCATCAATATTGGTATGTGCAGAATAAAAATAAATTTGTTCACATACTGTGTGAGATTGTTTAATGTAGGCTTGGCTTAAAATAGACTGAAAATAATTGTATTTATAGTGGTGATAATTGTCAGCGCCTTCATTTGTGTAATTTTGTTTAGAAGTCACACAAGACCCATATCATATGTGTAACTGCCCCTGTGTGAGGTAATGTATCACAACAACTGCCCATGTATGACCACATAGTAATACAACAGGGTTATCAAAGACTGCTCAGTAATACAAGACAGTATCGAAGACTGCTCAGTAATACAAGACGGTATCAAAGACTGTACAGTAATACAAGACAGTATCAAAGACTACAGTAATACAAGACGGTATCAAAGACTGCACAGTAATTCAAGACAGTATCAAAGACTGCACAGTAATACAAGATGGTATCAAAGACTACACAGTAATAAAAGATGGTATCAAAGACTGCACAGTAATACAAGATGGTATCAAAGACTGCATAGTAATACAAGATGGTATCAAAGACTACACAGTAATACAAGATGGTATCAAAGACTACACAGTAATACAAGATGGTATCAAAGACTGCACAGTAATACAAGATAGTATCAAAGACTGCACAGTAACACAACACAGTATAAAAAGATTGCACAGTAATATAACAGGGTATCAAAGACCGCGCACTAATCCAACGCAGTATAAAAGACTGCACAGTAATACAACACGGTATCAGAGCATCTTTGCTGCTCTGCATTTATGGGGCCAAATCCCAAGTGTGTAACCTTAACTGAACATTGCTCCTGCCTTCATTATCCTCTGTATATAAGTGTTTAATAAATATTTTAGTTACAGTATGAGACATTGTAATATTGTTTAATATCAAGTTTGCATTTTTCCTAATTACAAGTGTAATACACAAAAGATTATCAGAGCTAGTGTGGATGTTTATATCTGGTACTTCAGTTTGCATTTGGGCTCTGATACACAAGGTGAAAGACACTGATACAGCCTTGAACAGGCATTTTCATTTAATACTCAATATGCCAATGCATCATTTAAAGTTGGTAATATAACGACTTGGTTGATGCAAAAATATCCACGAGGAATATTCTGCATCAACGCAACACAGTGGTACATAGTCTTTCCGGCTTGGTGCCTTCTTTTGATAATTACTGCCTCATGCAGAGTACTATTGCAATTATGTACAGTTAGGCAGTGCAACATATTTACTGAGGATGACAAACCTTCATATTTAATGTGCGAAAGAATGCAATGTGCTTTCAGTATACAAAACAGTACTGTGTAATGTTGGGGTTAAAGAGAATGGATATGGATATTCATTATGGTGTACATGTTTGCAAACAGGCAATTTGAGCATGTATAAATTTCCAAGTATTGTGCATATACTGTACAGTACATGGCTATGCATACATTTTTCACAGCTTGCACTTTAATGATTCTGTGAGATATAAAGAGAATTTCTTTCGCATGAGTATAGCAAAGCAATGTCTAATGATCTATGAGAAAAGGCATTGCTCGTTGACTCCATATATGACATCCTAAGTGACATCTACGAATTTCTGACACGTTTTGCAACACAGGCGGTGCTAAATAGTCTTCCAGGCTTGGTGCCCTTTTTTAGATAATTACTTATTTAGCTCCATATGAGAGAGAATTTGAGAAGACATCACATTACTGTAGTTCATTAATAATAAAATGATGAGGCTCGGGATTTGGGACTCTTGCAGTAAACAGACAATGCTGATCGTGACCTTAAGTTATCTAATAACACTTTCCAAATCTGGATTTAACACTTTTAAATCCACATTTTATTTAAATCCAAAATCTGGATTTAACAAATCCACATTTTTATTCATAACTTGGATGAATTTGAAGAAACCATAAGAGTGCAGACAGGAACGAGCAGATCAATTGTTCACAGTGAACACATCAAACAACATTTACGATACAAGTAACAAAATCAGTAGCAGTAATAAACAAACATTTTATTAAGGCAAAAGTTACATTACATACACAGGATATAAGCAAACTGTTGGATTCATAGGTAGGCAGGTATAGTACAGTATATCGCCTAAAGCCACTAATATGCGGAGCATTTCAGCTTCGAAGTTTCGCCTCATAATTACTTTTGCTTCATACCTCTTTCTCCTTCCACCTTTATTGATCATGCCTCCACTGTCATTTCTATCCCTCTTCTGGTGGCCCTCAGGTACGTTAACTCTACTAGGACTCTTTCTCAAGAGTCAATTTCAACCCATTAATTTTTTATAATGATTTCCTGTTATTTCTGGTTGGCCCAAATACCCCCCACCACCCCCCCTCCTCACTCTGGCTCCTTACCTTTAGTTATTTTATCGAGTCCCAATTCTATCAGAAGTTCTATATTTTCCAAATGTTAATAAGGTTCATCATTTGATCATTGTTACCTTTATGTAGTATTCATTTACTCATGCTTAGGTCCTATTTACTACTTTATTACTTTCTTTCAGTTCACATACTGTATTTGTTTATTACTTATCCTAATTTATATTTAACATGTATTACAGTAGTGTATTCTAAATTCCTTGCTTTATTGTGCCAATACAGTATTTTAAAATAAATTATTGGTTTCGTTCTCATACTTTATGTGGTTTTCACTAAATCCAGAAATGTATTTGAGAGGCAATTCTATTAATAATTTATATTTACCACCAAAGTTACAAAATCTAAAATATGCAAACATTGCATTGCAATACATTGATGTCTTACCAAACTTGCAGAAGCCAATGGTACATAATGTTGAGCTATGAAAAACAAACTTGAAAAATCTCTTCAGATGAGAACTCGGATGAATTTTGAAGAGCATATGATAATACTGTATTTGCAGGTTTTCAGGTTTGATGCCTTCTTTTGATAATTATACTTGTCACTTGCAGGATGTGTATGAGGTGCGCAATATAAAGTGTGTCCATGTCGCCACATTTCCAGGAAAAGCGGAACCAGCTCCTCTCTTCATCTCGCTTGGTGGCATGGCCTATTCCCTCGCCCTGCTTGGAGGGAATATTTAAACATAAACATGCTATTTAGGCAAAAGTACATACATAATGCAGGTTCTAGCCTGGCTTTCCCCAGCCTCCTCCTCGTGCTCCACATTACTGTGTACACAACTCTCGCAAGGCTTATGCTTCATGCAGTTTGTGTTAACGGAGTTCTCTTGTCCTGTTGTGATATAAGACTGCATTTGTGTTTGCTGCTTGCTTCCTCGCCTGTGTTTATGGACTGCACCCAGAACTTTTGAGAGGCCACAGGACCCTGTAACACTCTACCAGCTGTTCTGACAGTGTGGATGGCTCATGTCGGAACCCCTCGTCGTGCACCCCCATTTTACATCTGGTCCTACTTTTCGCAGTTACTAAAGTACTTGGGTTACTTTATATGCCCAATTACTTTATACAGTGACACCTCGACTTACGATCACCCCTACTTACAAATTTTTTGAGTTACGGCGTAAATTTTGTCAGAAAATACCGTGTCGTCGACTAATGACCTTTGTTGATACGTGTTTGGGTTGACCAAGGGAGTGTTCCTGGTGGCACGGCTGACCCCATCTCAGTTTACCAGGGCCGCCCGCTTAGTGATGATCGTGTTTGTAAAGAATTTAAATATTTTTGTGCTTTTTTCTTTTTTGAACATAAAATTATTATATATCACACCATGGGTCCCAAGAAAGTCAGTGGTAAGGTTCAACCTAAGAAAACACATGTGAGGATGACCATAGAGTAAACAAGAGATCATTCGTAAACATGAAAATGGTATGAGGGGCTGTTGATGTAGAGTAGAGGATGTCCCTTTCTCATTTATTAAGAAAATGTGTACAGTATGGGAAGAATTGCAAAGTTTTGCTGAAAAGTGTCGCCCAAATCAAGCTGTAGCAGGCTGTTGTGTTAACCTTTTTAATGACCATGTGATGTCTCACTTCAGACAAGTGTTACAACGTAGGGAAAAACAAGTATCGCTAGACAGGTTTATAGTGAGAGGAGACATGGAGACGAAGACACAGAAGACACAGCAGACTGGGTAGGAAGGGGGGAAATTCCAAATGGAGAACAAGGAGAGGGACCCTTCGGGACAAAACATAAAGGAATAGGGGAAGGTGGTGGTGGGCGTGTCCGGGTCTAAGGCCTGGAAACGGTTGAGACCGAGTAAGGTGGGAAGGATGAAGAGAGGTAGAACGCAACATGTGAGCATAAGATACGCTAGTGAAAGGGGTGAGACGGCAAACCTGGCGTCTTGCTTCAGGAAAAGACGAAACCGGTGCTTCAAGTTGAGGACGTCTTCAAGTTTGTATTGAACACACACATGGGAGATGGTAGGGTGGGCCTCACCACAATTGAGGCAGCAAGCTTGGGGAGAAGAGCACTCTGACTTAGTGACCCTCATCCCCACACATGGGGCATAGATACACAGTACTTGTGCATTTGAGGGCACCATGCCCGAACTTCCAGTACTTATTGCAAATTCTAGGAGAGGGATTGTACGCCTGAATGGAGCACCTGGCACCAGCAAGAATTATAGAGGGCGGAAGGGTCCTACTATCAAAGGTGATTTTTACAACTGGAGGGGTGACGGCGATGACCACGAGGGGGTCGAGTGATCGTGTCCACCTGGAGGACAGAATGGCCTTGGGCTTCGAGAATATGCTTAATATCCTCCTGGCAGTCTTTTAGGTCCCTAACACCAGTAGCAACATGGTGCGAGAGGAGAACAGTGCAAACACTGGCATTTAACCGAGCTTTTTGGAGACCCGAACAGGGGTCTCCCCAATGCAGGACAATGCGGCCAAGCGGGTAGCTGCATCTTGAGGAGCAGCAGCGACGACACGTGTACCAAGACGGGTGAGGTTAAAAGTAACAGAGGGATCTACCAAATCAACAAGGTGTTCATGGAGGGAGAAATCGTCAGTAGAAGAATCCAGATGGTGGAGATTAAAGTATTTAGCTCGAGTAGCAGGACCAAACAAGGTGTGATACGTATTAGTATGGGAAGGAATTGTGCGAGTGTGACCGTGGCGGGGACGGCGTTGAGAGATCCCCAGAGAGAGAGGGGTTAAAAGGCACAATAGTCACAATGAGAGACTGAGTCGTGCCAGAGGACGAGGTGGTCACCACTGGGGGCTTGGGACTCGACCCTACCACAAAAGAGGGAAGGGAGCAGGGAGGGGGGGTGAGTAGTACAGTTTGGGCCCAATGTAGCAGGGGCTACAGAGCCCGGTCTTCCATCACAGTCCGACTCAGGGGCCTGGGTAAGAGAGGTCGTGTCAGTATCCATATACTGTATCATGTATTTTAAAAGGTCTGGGGCCTGGAACCAAAGGAATACCACCTACCAGGGCTACCAAGGAGGCCGAGCGCGGGCCAGTGCAGGAAGGGGTGTGTCATCCCCAGCGGTGCTTCCCCTTTTTAACAGGAGAGTCCTACTGCTTCGTCCATTCTCCTACACTGGTGCAAAGACCTCATTCTCTCTTTCGACCCAGCCTGGATACCCAGCCATCCACTTAAGGCAGCCTCTCACGGGCGACCACTCCTGTGGGCGGTCCGGTCACTCACAAGGCCCCAACGTTTGTGTTCTTTCGCAATTACAACTCCCAAAGAGGAGCACAGGCAACCCTCACCGGTTCAAGAGAGGTGTACATGAGCCCCCTCATCACAAGAAGGAAACACAATGGAGGGGGAATATTGTAAAGTGTTTAATTATTAATCATAATAATTTATTTATAGCATACATTTGTAATATAACATACTATATGTAAATATATAAAGGGCAAGATGACATTTTTCTGTGTACACAGAGGAGCAACTACAAGCTGACAAATACAAAGATATATGGAGCAGTAACCAAGCTCTGGTACACAGTAATTCCATAAAAAAAAGTCACATAACACACACGTTGCACATTTTTCAAAATTCAAATGTTTATTCAGGTAAAGTACATACATACACGGTGTGATACAAACATTGATGGATTTATAGATAAAGCTAGTACATACAATGCCTAAAGCCACTATTACGCAAAGCGTTTCGAGCTGGATAACGCTTTGTGGATGACTGTGTTATCAAAGTCATAACACAGTCTTTGTTATGTGTTATGACAGTATCCATGATCGAGCCCCTGGTCTCCTGTCCAGGCGTCAGACTAGAAATAAAAATGAATTTTGGAGAACTGATTTTTCAATTACCATCGACAGTAAAAAGAAACATAAGAAATATTGAGAAAATTCGTGTTGGAATTGTTAATCTTACTATCTATCTATCTATCTCTCTATCTCTCTCTATCTCTCTATCTCTCTCTCTCTCTCTCTCTCTCTCTCTCTCTCTCTCTCTCTCTCTCTCTCTCTCTCTCTCTCTCTCTCTCTCTCTCTCTCTCTCTCTCTCTCTCTCTCTCTCTCTCTCTCTCTCTCTCTCTCTCTCTCTCTCTCTCTCTCTCTCTCTCTCTCTCTCTCTCTCTCTCTCTCTCTCTCTCTCTCTCTCTCTCTCTCTCTCTCTCTCTCTCTCTCTCTCTCTCTCTCTCTCTCTCTCTCTCTCTCTCTCTCTCTCTCTCTCTCTCTCTCTCTCTCTCTCTCTCTCTCTCTCTCTCTCTCTCTCTCTCTCTCTCTCTCTCTCTCTCTCTCTCTCTCTCTCTCTCTCTCTCTCTCTCTCTCTCTCTCTCTCTCTCTCTCTCTCTCTCTCTCTCTCTCTCTCTCTCTCTCTCTCTCTCTCTCTCTCTCTCTCTCTCTCTCTCTCTCTCTCTCTCTCTCTCTCTCTCTCTCTCTCTCTCTCTCTCTCTCTCTCTCTCTCTCTCTCTCTCTCTCTCTCTCTCTCTCTCTCTCACTCACTCACTCACTCACTCACTCACTCACTCACTCACTCACTCACTCACTCACTCACTCACTCACTCACTCACACTCACTCACTCACACTCACTCACTCACTCACACTCACTCACTCACTCACTCACTCACTCACTCACTCACTCACTCACTCACTCACTCACTCACTCACTCACTCACTCACTCACTCACTCACTCACTCACGCAGATCCTGTCCAGCATTCTCTTTAGATCAGTGATTTTTGCAGCCAGGACCTCCTCGATTGCTCGTGGGCCAATGGGGGCACCCAGGAGAGTGATTTGTATCCTAATCTTAATCTCATGTAAATTGAATCCTTCCAAGTAGACTTTCCTTTACCATAGGTGAGGGACGAGTTTGTATTTATTACTGAATAATTCTTAAGTGTGTTACTACTGTCCACCATTGCCATTCTCTTTATCATTTCTTCACCCTCTTGGATCATCTTGATTCTTGTTTTTATTTGTTTCAAGGTTAACTGACATACAATATCAACAGAGTTTTTTCCGTGGCTCTCTTCGCTATCTCATCAACTACCTTATTCAACAGTATTCCCACATGTGAAGGGATCCACATGAATCTTACTTTAATTATACCCAGTTTTTTCTAATTTCTTAACATTCTCTCTACACTCTATCACAATATTCTGATATACTAGGCGTCTGCTATTTAAAGACTCTAACGCTCCTCTGCTGTCAATAAAGAAGCAAGCATTTTTACCACATTTGACTACTTCCTGTAATCCTGCTAATACACCTTGGAGTTCAGCCTGCGTTGAAGAGACATTGTCAGTTAAGCGGCGTCCAATAACAGTATCTATTGTGCCGATGTCAGTGTACTCCCTGATCAAGACTCCACATCCTGCCTTCCCATCCCTTGCTACTGACCCATCACAACATACATGTGATGGGTCAGTTTGTAGAGTGTTTTCTGTAGGCAATTTCCTAATTATACAATCATATGTTGCCCTCAGCTCTCCTATTTCATACATACTTTTTTTCTTTTGCAAGGGAATAATTACTACATCTATATTACAATCCTCCCATGGTGGTGTGAATTTTCTCTTGGGCACAGCAATACACTCTGTAATAACATCATACTAATAACATTATAACATAAGGTATTCATATATGCTTTACAAGACTGTAATTACCATATTTGTATCCTCACATTCCTTATGTACATTCTTGTATATGCATAAATAAATAAATAAATAAATAAATGCTCTTTTCTTCATCATACATTGTTCATTTCTTCCCACCTTTTGAACCGAGAGGATTAATTCATTAGCTCCCCCACCTCTCATTAATTTAATGGCAGAGGCTACATTTATCTCTGCAATTCTATCCCCATTACTCTGCAGATTCAACTCCATCCTCATTATCTCAATCATAGCATTTCTTGGGCATCCTAAGATAATTCTCATGGCTTCATTTTGTACCTTCTCCAACTTGCCCATCCTACCTTTACCAAAACAAGAAATGACAGGTGCAGCATAATCAATAAGAGATCTTACAGTACTCAAGTATGCCGGGTAGCAGGCTGTGGCGAGGCTCCTCTTGATGATGTCCTCGGTCCGTCTAATTACCGCAAGCTACCATAAGCTACGCAAGCTTCACAAAGCTTCCTGGCAATATGTTAGTAATGAATAAATATGATATATTTACTCATTATAATGTTGGTGCTGAATGTACAACACGAAAAAACATGATTTAAATCTGAAAAAGTATCTTTTTATAAAGAAATTAGACGAAGAGCTGGTGATGCCAAATCAAGTCGACGATCCAAGCGTCGGTTAGGTTAGGTTAGGTCAGATCAGGTCAGGTCAGGTCAGGTCAGCCTAACATATCATATTTATTCATTACCAACGTATTGCCAGGAAGCTTGTGGTAGCTTATGGTAATTAGACGGACTCGATGTCGTTGACTTCTTCATCAACGACTTCTTCATGTCTTGCAATCTTACCCTGTGATTTACGACATACCAGACCATGACGACCATATTGGTCTGCCATCCCAGTTCCGCAGATGGACCAATGTTCGGTGAGGATGGGGGCGGCAAAGCGAAGGGCAACTCCAATGCGGAGAATGAATGAATAAAATATATATATATATATATATATATATATATATATATATATATATATAACTTTAGAACACTTTCCCACCAGGAGACTCGAACCCTAGCCAGCACAGAAGCCTTCCAGCAACTGGCATAACAGGTACACCTTAACCTGCTCCACCACCTGCTCAGACCCTTAAAAGAGATGGTAATTTCGGAGTATTTATATACCCCAAAGATCACCACCTCCCAAGAGCACTAGAGCAAGTGAGGGGTCATTTATACGTTTATTTCATCAAGTCCCTGTTAATATGGGAAGACACAGTGTCTATGCTTAAGGCACAACTCTCCTAAACACGAGAGTGAAGTATACAACTTTAGAATACATATATATATATATATATATATATATATATATATATATATATATATATATATATATATATATATATATATATATATGCGAACAAGCCTGAATGGTCCCCAGGACTATATGCGAATGAAAACTCACACCCCAGAAGTGACTCGAACCCATACTCCCAGAAGCAACGCAACTGGTAACTACAGGGCGCCTTAATCCGCTTGACCATCACGGCCGTCAAAAGGAAGTGATAGCCGAGGCTATTTGAGCCACTTCCCCGACGGCAACTCGGATGGTAATCTTGGGCATAGCATTTCACCAAATCACCTCATTCTTTGGGGCACACGTGAGGAACACAAATGCGAACAAGCCTGAATGGTCCCCAGGACTATATGCGAATGAAAACTCACACCCCAGAAGTGACTCGAACCCATACTCCCAGAAGCAACGCAACTGGTAACTACAGGGCGCCTTAATCCGCTTGACCATCACGGCCGTCAAAATAGTTTATAGTCCTGGGGACCATTCAGGCTTGTTCGCATTTGTGTTCCTCACGTGTGCCCCAAAGAATGAGGTGATTTGGTGAAATGCTATGCCCAAGATTACCATCCGAGTTGCCGTCGGGGAAGTGGCTCAAATAGCCTCGGCTATCACTTCCTTTTGACGGCCGTGATGGTCAAGCGGATTAAGGCGCCCTGTAGTTACCAGTTGCGTTGCTTCTGGGAGTATGGGTTCGAGTCACTTCTGGGGTGTGAGTTTTCATTCGCATATAGTCCTGGGGACCATTCAGGCTTGTTCGCATTTGTGTTCCTCACGTGTGCCCCAAAGAATGAGGTGATTTGGTGAAATGCTATGCCCAAGATTACCATCCGAGTTGCCGTCGGGGAAGTGGCTCAAATAGCCTCGGCTATCACTTCCTTTTGACGGCCGTGATGGTCAAGCGGATTAAGGCGCCCTGTAGTTACCAGTTGCGTTGCTTCTGGGAGTATGGGTTCGAGTCACTTCTGGGGTGTGAGTTTTCATTCATATATATATATATATATATATATATATATATATATATATATATATATATATATATATATATATATATGTCAGAATGTCAGAATCAATATGTAAATTTTGTATAATATATATATATTATACAAAATTTACATATTGATTCTTTGTAATATTAGCAATATACGTACGGGTAAATTCAGGTAAAGTGTATAAATAATTTAGGTGGTGTTTAGGCTGGTAGTGACCACCACAACAACACGTGTGGCGGCGCTCAGCTGGTGGTGGCGGCGGTCTGTGGCTCGTGGTGTGGATCCTAAAGTTGCAGTCATCGGGAAGACAAACCCTTCATGCAAACTGCACCTACTATCAAAAAGAAAAGTTGATCCTAACACCTTTGTGGTCACAAGGAGGAGAAAACATTCATGCTAACTATACGTACCATAAAGAAGAAGAAAACTTTAAACTCGACTTTAACAGTTGTTCGTACAGCGGCCTGTGGATCAGTCGTCTCAGTACTGTGGATCTGCTCCCAACACTGGATCACTGCTCTCGGTGTTGTGGATCACTGTGCTTACTAGGAGCTTGCTCTCAGTACCGTGGATCACTGTTTTTTCTAGGGGCAGCTCTCAGTATTATGGATCACTATTCTTGGTAGGGGCAGCTTTCAGTACTGTGGATCACTATTCTTACTATAGGGTGCAGCTCTCGGTATTGTGGATCACTGCTCTTACTCTGCTGTCTCACCTGACGATGAGCAAGAGTAAGCGTCAAGGTCGCCACCAGGAAGTAAAAGAGACAGAGTTCTTCGGTAGTCCAGGTGAGTCTGTTCTGTCATATGTGAATATACAGTGGTCTTATAACCTATAATTGGTTGTGATTTTAATTTATTTCCTATGAGTGGTAAGGGGTTCTGTCAAATTGTAGACACAGAGGTTCCATACATCTTGTGTTCTAATTACAATGTTACCAGTAAAATTATATATCCTCAGGTTAGGCTGAATTGGGGCAGGCTAGGTTAGGCTCATGTAGGTTTTAAAATTCATTGGCAAACTGTCTTATGACCATAAATGAAACAGAAACTGACCTTAAAAGTATTTCAAACTGAAATGACCTTAATAGTTAAGGAGATTACTATCAGAAATTTTTTGCAAAATCTAGAAGCGTAATTGCAGTTTTCATGAATTTTCAACACTTGTATAGAAAAGCTGGAACAACGGCATCAAAATAACCATACTGTACAGTACTAGTGATCATATCTTTAAATAGTCAAGAGAAAAGGCTTCTATTTAATCTTTATTTATTATATTTATTTATTTATATATATAAGAGTTCTTACATTATTGTACAGCCACTAGTATGTGTAGCATTTCGGGCAGTTCTTAATCCTTTGTTCCCTAGAATATGACCCCCTGCGAAGAATTGTTTTTACAACCAAATACCCATTTTACTGTTGAGTTAAACAGAGGCTACAGTTAAGGATTTGCACTCGGTAAATACTCCCTGGTCAGGATACGAACCCAGGACAAAGTGCTCGCGGAACTCCAGGCGAGCGTCTTACCACTACGCCACGGAGACTGCTAAATCTAATCTGCTCTCTAAGAAGCAGGCTCCATTTGAATGGAAATAGATAGTTTAATTTTGGTTAAAAATATGTACTTGTGTGGATAAGTTTAAACATTTACTTTACTGAAGAAAACTAATTACACCAACATTGATTAGTGGGCCAGCCAGGGTCCTATGGCTCGCACTGGAATATCCATGCAAAAATAAATGAAAGAAAACTAGTACCAGCCTTTTCTTACAAAAGCCCAAGGTGTGGCATGTTAATATGGCAATCCCAGGAGCATCTGTTTTTGGATGAGAATGTGCCGCTATGGACATGGCCATGCGACTTGTGAATTAATCTTAACCATTGCGATGCGCAAAATTTATTGTGCCATTCCCCCTGTGCGCAAGAAATTAACTGTTCCCCCAAAAATTCTTTTTTTGTTTGTAATATGATAAATTCCCTTCCCTGAACATGTCTATGTAAAAAAAAAAAAAAAAACACTTAATTTGACTGTGACGACGTGGACAGTGTGCTGTGACGTCATCATTGCTGGTCGCCCGTGCGTGGAGCTCCCAGAGGCAGTCACGCAGGCCATTTAAGCACCACGAGTTACCACAAATATATTTTCAATTAATTGTTCTATGTCTTTCCAATGTGGTTATATTAGTTTTTTTTACCGTATACGATGCATATTTGTGTTCTTTACAATGTGTACAGTTTCACACTATTTACACAGTAACACACTTTATTACACATGCAGTACTTCGGAAGTGAGTAATAATCAACGAAGTAGTCCATGGTACACAGCACAACTTCGCTCTCGTTGCACCAGGTACAGATAGATTTTCGCTTCCTGTTTCTTTGTTCTGTGTGCTTGCAAATAACACACTCATGTTACACCCTTGGCTTTAGTACTTGTAGGTGGTATGTAGCCAAGCTTGTAAAGCATAAGGTAGTATTGAAAAGATTATAGGAAAAATAAATTTGTAAGGTAGTCTTGAAAGGATCGCTTTGTAAGGTCCCTGACTGGAAGAGATTGTTGTTTTCGGAGAGTGTCGGTCAATCTAGAAGAAATTCAGCCATTCTGGAAGAGATTCAGCTATTCTTGAAAATATCTATGGAAAACACCACCATGGAAGCGGCTAACACTTCATCTATGCTACTTGTATCGGATGCATCATCACTGAACCTAGAAAATGATTCATCTATGCATCATCTACAGTATATAAATTGGAGATGGCATAGGTGGGCAAGGGAGGCGCTCAGAGCTACAACTGGATATGCTCGCTGTATCACTTGCATCCAACCTATGTGTTAGGTCCTTGTTGTGCCTAGCTTCATCAATATCATGACCCTTATGTTCTTCAAGCGATAAGGTTTGAATTTCACCGACAGACGGCGATCTTTCAACACCTCGTCGGAGAGGTGTTTTGGTGCCAGAGGCATGTGCGCCACCCATGGTTGCTCACTCGGTACTAAACCAGCCAGCAGCCCTAGGACATTCTGGGAATTTTTTCCAACATGGGTGCATCTCACTGGAGGTCCCAAGAGTCCATTTTGTATCCAACTTACTGCGAGCATGTTTCGACCGTGTACGAAAAAATGAAAAATGCTTTTGTTGGTTGGCGCAGTAATTGGCGAACGACATTTGTCATTTTGTACAGTGCAGTGGTTAAAAGTAACGAGGCTTTCAATATTTACTCCTCAGAAGATTTGGGGTAGAACTGCTAACCATTTTTTTTAGCCCAAGTTAACACTTTCGCGCTTTAGATTAGAGATAACTCGTCGCCGTTTTTTCTTACGATTCCGCATAACAGCCTACTTTTCTCGTCCATCGAAAAAATATTTCTATAAATTCCATTTTTTAACCGAAATGGATGGGGATACTTTTGTTTTGTAGAGAATTTATTTGCGAATTTTTTGGTACCAGAATGAATATTATATCACATAAACTTCTGAGTAAAAAAAAAAATACACAAAGTATGTTTGGGGGTGTGGCGAGCGTGTGGCAGTGGGTTCCCTTTAGCCGTTGTTATATCCAACACGTGGGAAATATTTGTATGTGTTATGTATATGTCTGTGTAGGGAATTTTACTGCGATCACTGTCATACAAATTATAAAATGTTTCAACAAGTATAAACATGACAAACATCAAACGAACGAAAACAATGCGTTCGTTTCTGCCGCGAACGCATACTGAGCGACGTGGTTCTATATTTGGCGCTTTTCTTACACATGCTTTGTAAAAATGTTATACAGTTCATCTTATAGAAAATTTTATTGCGAACACATTGGTATAAAAAAGAAATACGTACATAGAAAAGTAGGGTCAGGAAACGTATAAACTTTCCAAGCATGATTTCCCCTGTGTTTTCGCAAGTGCGCTCGCGGCTAACTACTCTCCACTTCACACACTCTTGCGGGTGGGCAATTACCTATATTAAACATTCATATGCATATGTCCGTGTAGAGAATTTTATTGCGATTCCAATGATACCAAAATTAGCGATGTAGGACAACTGTAGGCTTCGCAACCATTAAGAGAGTGGAAACATTTTGTTGCTGTTTGGCGCTCTCGGCGAGTGATCTGCATAGTTTTTTATTTGGTGTTGATACTCCTTATGCTTGGGCGGCATTTTATAGGTATACTCTTATAGACAATTTCATTGCGAACACAGTGATACCAAATTTAAATACGTGCGCCTTCAATTATTGTCAGGACAGTCAAAAGAGTGTACACTTTTTCAGTCTTACCGCATAGGCGCGCGAAGTGCTGAAAGCATCTGGGGTATTTTTTTTTGAGCGCCGAGAGCGCGAAAGTGTTAATTGCTATGTAAATTAAATGTAAAATTGAAGACTGAAAAATTAATGCCAGTACTGTACATAGAATGTTAGTAATAAAAAGAAATATTCATGCTTCTCTAATTATAATAATTTCCTTATACAGTACTTATAATTTTCTGAAATTGGTAAGAATAATCTAGTACAGTTTTGGTATTTGTCCACATAGAATTTTTAAGCATCAGATAAATGAACCTTGTGAAAGCCACGATACTGGCCAAAAATGTAATATTCAGTCAAATAGTGACTTTTAACTCTCTGTTGGCAGATTCTGAGTGAGCAGTTCCAGCCCAGTTCCAGTTCTTATCATATAATATGGAAGGGAATGCCTTTGTAGCTCCTGGCCATCTGCCACTAAAGAAGAAATATTCTGGACCAACAGGACGCCCTCCCCCTAGTCATCAACACCGACAAGAGGCATCGTGGATGACACCTGAGATCCGCAAGGAGTTACAGAACCGCAACAGCCTGCAAGAGGTGTTGCAGAGAACTGATAACCCTGAGGATTGGCAAGCATATCAGGCTCAGTGTGAGAAAGTACAAAGTATGATAGACAAATCAAAGTCAAGTCTGGGCTTAGCTCACAGTTACAACTCGGGAGCCAAAAAACCGTGCATTAGCCCTACCCAGAGAAGACCCGCCTTTGCAAATGGGGTGTCGGAACATCAGTATTCTGGTCACTCACAAGGGATGCCTGTGATTGACCCCAGAACAGCTTATTACCAGAACTCTGCAAGTTACAATTCTCAAGGAATGAGCAGACAAGTTCTCTCGTGTGGACCGTGTAATCGTTCATTTTATAGTCAACAAAGACTTGATGAGCACTTAAAAGAGCATGTAGAATGTCCCTTTCCCGAGTGCAGACTTAGTGCTCATATTAAGATCATTGACCAGCACATAAATAATCAACACATGCTTATAAATTTTGCAAATTTGCAAATAGATGATGATACTTGGATTGCAGAGAGGAAAAAGAGGTTTCCAACTGCCCAGAGAGCAGAGCTGCGAAGGGCTGAACAAATGGAAAAGATTAAGAGAGGAGAAAAGTTAGGGAAGAAAAATAAACTGTTTAACAAAGATAAAGATAAATACAACAAAACTAGAAAAAGGGACATGAATAGAAATAGAAACAATGGTGCAGATAGTCTGAAGGACCTCACAAGAAGTAAAGATAATCAGAAGTTAGAGGCCAAAGGTGAACCTAAGATTTCTGCAAGTCATGAAGTAAATGGTGAGCCCAGAGGCAAATTTAGACAGAAGATGTCACAGAGACGAGAAGGTCCAACTAAGGCATGTATTGTAGTTGATCTTTTTGATTCTGATGATGAGTTTAAGGATGGTATTCCTGCTTTTAAGGGAACAAAGAAGTTTTATGAGAGCACAGGAGAAGTTAGTTACTTCGGGATGAAAAGTATGAATGCAGTTGATGTTAAAGAAGAAATATCAAAAGATACTGATATTGGAATTAGTGATGATGATGAGGAGTGGCATACTGAGAGTAAAGAGGTAAATACTTCTGGAGCACTGGTGTTAGGAGGTGCACTGGGATCATTAATGGGTACTTATTCTGATTCTGAAGATGAGAATGTTGAAATGCCATCATCTAGTCAGGATATTGGGAATCTAGATACAGTTCCTCCAAAGAGCACTGCAAATGAATCTAAAGAAGAAAACAAAGATGAGATGAAAACTGAGAATAATAAGCAGGACAGCCATGCTGCCACAAGCCATAAAGGCAGGCGGCGACAGAGGCATCACAAGGGGGCTAAAGCACCTAGGGCACAGAAACGACCCTTGGCCACTAAAGGGCCTGTAGTGTCGAAGCCGTTCCCAAAAAGGCGGAAAACACTGCTTGAGAAACTCTTACAACCAGATATAATACATGAAAGGAATATCATCCTTCAGTGTGTTCGGTTCATTGTACAAAATAATTTCTTTGACGTAAACACAAACAAAGATAAATGTGTAGAGGTGCCAAATAATTCCAGTTGTCAGGAAAAGGAGGCCAGTACTTAGCCATGTATCGAGGTCCCTCCAAGGTTAGCTACTGACCTTCCCCAGGATGTAACTCCTCAACAGTTGCCTAACTCCTGGGTACCTATTTACTGCTAGGTGAACAGAGGCATAAGGTGAAAGGAATCATACCCAACCATTTCTGTCCTCTCTGGGGATCATATCAAGAATTCCTGATTGAGAGTTAAGGATGAGCTTAACTGTACTAAAGGAAATCAGAATTAAGTGCAGGAAAAAATAGTATGAGAAACAATTAAACTAATGGAATTGGAGGAAACTGGTCAAGTGAGAGTGTGTGTGTGTAAAGAAAGATGAAATAGTGATAAAAGAGGAAATTGGAAAATGCCAGGGAATAAAATAACAATGATGAAATGGGTATAAGGGAAGACGCTGTGATGTTGATATAAACGGTACAATGAACATTTATTATGAAGAAAATAACACTTAAGCTCCATAGTAAGATATTCAGATGATATTATTGGGAATATTGATAGTCACTAAAAAAATGAATGAGAATGAGAAAAATTACAAAATTGAAATGTGCAAAAATACCCCAAGCCCAAGCGATAGCAATATGGAAACGAACTCATGTGGCTTGCAAAGCAAAGACAATATTATTGTGCAAAATTAGATGAACAGAACAGTGCTCTCAAGCATCATAAGATTTAAATTAAAGATAATTGTAAAAAATTTCTGGGTATTGTCAGTGTAGACTTAAGAGCTGTGCATGTGTATTTGATGCAAGCATTTGTGCGTATGAAGTGTTTCAGATATTGTGCTCCTTTAGTAGCAGTTACATGATGTGAGAGTTCAAGAAGTATTGATAGCATTCATGTATGATTAATAGGAGCTCCATGTATTCCAAATATTTTACACACACACGGTAATGTTTGAGCTTGTAAGATCTACTTGCAAGTGTCTTAAATTACCTACTTAAATTTTTTGTACAGTATTTAAAATGTTTGTTAGTAGTGTAAATATGACAAAAATACTAATATTAAACTTTGATCCAGCATACTACTGCATCAAACATTTGTTTAATATGTTTAATGTGTTAAAATTTGCATCTCCCTTTAAATACATTATTGTAATTTTAGAGTAATTGATGGCTGTTAACATGTAATGATGGTTTATTAAAAATAAAATATTTCTGCAGATTGTTCATTAATAAATTATGTATAATGATAAAGTATTTTCTATTGACAATGAAAACAAATATCCCTTATCTTAAATAATATAATAATCATACTACCTGCATCAAACAAGTAGGTTAAACTAGTAATTGGTAAATAATGCAAATTAGACAAACCAGAAATTGGTAAACAATTAAGATCACACAAACAAGAAATTGTTAATACAAATCAACCAAAATGATGAACTGCAGATCAAATAAAAAAATTCTAAACAGTGAAGATCAGACAAATTCTAAACCATACAGATCATAAATTGGTAAACAATACAGATCAGGCAAGAAATTGGTAAACTGCAAATCGGACAACAACTGGTAAATTATGCAGATCAGACAGACAAGAAAGTAGTAAGAGATATTAACACTTTCGCGCTTTATATTAGAGATAACTCGTCACTGGTTTTTCTTACGATTCCGCATAACTGCCTACTTTTCTCGTCAATCGAAAAAATATTTCTATAAATTCCATTTTTAAACCGAAATGGATGGGGATACTTTTGTTTTGTAGAGAATTTATTTGCGAATTTCTTTGGTACCAGAATGAATATTATATCACATAAACTTCTATGAGTAAAAAAAAAAATACACAAAGTATGTTTGGGGGTGTGGCGAGCGTGTGGCAGTGGGTTCCCCTTTAGCCGTTGATATATCCAACACGTGGGAAATATTTGTATGTGTTATGTATATGTCTGTGTAGGGAATTTTACTGCGATCACTGTCATACAAATTATAAAATGTTTCAACAAGTATAAACATGACAAACATCAAACGAACAAAAACAATGCGTTCGTTTCTGCCGCGAACGCATACTGAGCGACGTGGTTCTATATTTGGCGCTTCTCTTACACATGCTTTGTACCAATGTTATACAGTTCATCTTATAGGAAATTTTATTGCGAACACATTGGTATAAAAAAGAAATACGTACATAGAAAAGTAGGGTCAGGAAACGTATAAACTTTCCAAGCATGATTTCCCCCCTGTGTTTTCGCCAGTGCGCTCGCGGCTAACTACTCTCCACTTCACACACTGTTGCGGGTGGGCAATTACCTATATTAAACATTCATATGCATATGTCCGTGTAGAGAATTTTATTGCGATTCCAATGATACCAAAATTAGCGATGTAGGACAACTGTAGGCTTCGCAACCATTAAGAAAGTGGAAACATTTTGTTGCTGTTTGGCGCTCTCGGCGAGTGATCTGCATAGTTTTTTATTTGGTGTTGATACTCCTTATGCTTGGGCGGCATTTTATAGGTATGCTCTGATAGACAATTTCATTGCGAACACAGTGATACCAAATTTAAATACGTGCGCCTTCAATTATTGTCAGGACAGTCAAAAGAGTGTACACTTTTTCGGTCTTACCGCGTAGGCGCGCGAAGTGCCGAAAGCATCTGGGGTATTGTTTTTTTTTGAGCGCCGAGAGCGCGAAAGTGTTAAATGACCTGTATTTTATTTAAAAATATATTTATGAAATACTGTTGGTCTTATACAATATTATGATTACAAAATGAGGGAAGATTTGGTCTGATACTTTGATGAGACTTTACAACCACAAAATGTATTACCATGAACACTTTAAGTACTGTTAACAGATACAGTGGCTTACGAATGCCCCTCTTTACAAATTTTTCGGCTTACGAGCCCAATTTCTTTGTAAAATTTGAATCGGGTTATGAGCTTTGCTTCGAGTTACATAGTTTGTTGATAAACGTATGGGCGACTGAGCGCGTGGTTCCTGGTGGCAAGGTCGCCCGCGCTTCAGTTTACCAGTGCCTCCCGTCTAGTGTCAATCATGCTTGAATTTTTTGTAAAGAATTACATTGTTTTTCTGCTTTTTTAGGTTTTGAACATAAAAGTAATTATTATATATCATGCCATGGGTCCTAAGAAAGTCAGTGTTAAGGTTCAACCTAAGAAAACACATGTGAGGATGACCATAGAGGAAAAACAAGAGACCATTCATAAACATGAAATAGTACACGGGTTGCTGAACTAGCTAGGCGGTACAACAAATCTTCAGGGGAGGAGACGGTAGAGGATGTCCCTTCCTCATTAGGAAATGTGTGCAGTATGGGAAGAACTGCAAAGTTTTGCTGAAAAGAGTCACCCAGATATAGCTTTAGCAGGCTGTTGCATTGACCTTATTAATGACAATGTGATGTCTCATTACAGACAAGTGTTAAAATGTAGGGAAAAACAAATGTCTTTAGACAGATTCTTAGTAAGACAAGCAAGCAGTGAGCCACAAACAGTTCCTAGTGGTATCAGCCTGCAAAACGGGCTAGGCTATGGTGAGACCTGGAGAGTACTGGCCAGAGAAGTCATCAGTGCCTGATTTTATAATGGAAGGGGACTCCCCTTCCAAACACTAACACCTCTCTTCCTTTCCCCCTCCTCACCGTCTTCCATATGCCAACAAGAGCCATCAATAAAGGTAAGCTATAACTTGTACGTACCTGTACTATAGTACTAAATATTTGTGTGTATTAGGAATGAAATGTATTTTGAATTTAATATTTCTGGGAGTGTGGAACGAATTAATTCAATTTACATTATTTCTTATGGGATAATTCGTTTCGGGTTGCGAATTTTCTGGTTATGAACCATCTCTGGAAATGGATTAAATTCGTAAACGATATGATCACTGTACTCTCAGACACTGGTTTTCTTGCACTATATTACTGATTTATCCGTACAGTTGTAACGTATACCGTACTCACTTCTCCCTTCAGAGCAGGAGAGATTGCTGAAACAGGGAATACAGAGAATATATACGGCACTCATAAACACGATAAAGCACCTAAATTATTTGCATCGTCTCAAATATCTCAAAATGTATTCTTTAGAGAAGAGATGAGAGTGGCACCAAATTATATATACTGTACATGGAAGATACTAGAAGGCCAAGTCCCAAATTTGCACAGTAAAATAACAACATACTGGAGTGAAAGATAAGGAAGGAAATGCATAATAGAGCCAGTGAAGAATAAGGGTGCTACTACCAGGGGATGCCATAGGCACAATCAGAGAACACGATATGAACATCAGAGGTCCACAGTTGTTCAAGATCCTTCCAGCAAGTATAAGAAATATTACCGGAACAAAAGTGGAAATCTTCAAGAAAAAGCTAGACAGTTTTTTTGCAAGAAATGCCAGACCGATTGGGCTGTAGTGCATATGTGGGCCTGCGGGCTGCTCCAAGCAACAGCCTGTTGGAACCTTTCATATGTCTAGCCTGGTCCCAGGCTGGGCTTGGAGAGTAGAACTTTCAGAACTCCATCCAGGTACAATGAAACCTCGATTCAACAAACCTTGATTCAGCGAACCTCCGGTTGGAACACATTTTCTAGTCTGGATTTACTCACCCGATTCCACTAACTCTTGTTTGGTTTAGCAATGGATGTGTGGATTTTTTTTTAGGATGTTGGGACAGAGTTCCCAGACTGGTGAAAAATTTGCCCGTTATGACATAGGTTAAAAATTAAAGATTTCCTTAATTAATGAAATCGGCCCCTAGAGCATGGGCAATATTAGAGTGCAGTGGCCCCTCCGTTTACAAATTTAATCCATTCCCAGAGGTGGTTCGTAACCCAAAAATTTGTAACCCGAACAAATTTCCCCATAAGAAATAATGTAAATTAAATTAATCCGAGGGCAGTAATCAGAGGCAATATATTGAACTAGAGAAATGTCACAAGTGGAGTACCACAGGTTTCAGTTCTTGCACCGATAATGTTCAATGTCTACATAAACGATCTACCAGATGGAATGCAGAATTATATGAACATGTTTGCTGATGATGCTAAAATAATAGGGAAGATAAGAACTTAAATGATTGTCATGCCCTTTAAGAAGACCTGGACAAAATAAGTATATGGAGCACTACTTGGCAAATAGAATTTAATGCGAATAAATGCCGTTATGGAATGTGGAATAGGAGAACATAGACTCTACACAATCTATAAATTATGTGAGAAATCTTTAAAGAATTCTGATAAAGAGAGAGATTTTGGGGTGGTTCTAGATAGAAAACTATCACCTGAGGACCACATTAAAAAGATTGTGCGAGGATCCTATGCTATACATTCTAACTTCAGAATTGCTTTTAAATACTGTACATGGATGGAGAAATACTTAAGAAATTGTTCACGACTTTTGTTAGACCAAAGCTGGAATATGCAGCGGTTGTATGGTGTCCATATCTTAAGAAGCACAACAAACTGGAAAACGTGCAAAAATATGCCACGAAGTGGCTCCCAGAACTGAAGGATAAGAGCTATGAGGAGAGGTTAGAGGCATTAAAAATGCAAAACTAGAAGACAGAAGAAAAAGAGGCGATATGATCACTACGTACAAAATAGTAACAGGAATCGATAAAATTGGTAGGGAAGAATTCCTGAGACTTGGAACTTCAAGAACAAGAGGTCATAGATTTCAACTAACTAAACAAAGCTGCCGGAGAAATATAAGAAAATTCATTTTTGTAAACAGAGTGGTAGACGGTTGGAACAAGTTAGGTGAGAAGGTGGTGGAGGCCAAAAGTGCAAATAATTTCAAAGCGTTATATAACAGAGAGCGCTGGGAAGATGGGACACGACTAGTGTAGCTCTCATCCTGTAACTACACTTCGGTAATTACACATGGTTCATTACAGAGAGTAATCAAACTAACATGACTGCATCAATGAGAAAATCCCTAGGAGTAGTGATGATTCCCAAGCTTCCCTTTTGCTTTATAGAGCAAAAAATTATAATCTGGCCGTGGCTGCCTGTAGTCGGAGGATAGATCTCTGAGGTGTTGTGTGTTGGAATACCTGAGTTAAGTTCTTCGAGCTACTGATGGCTCACCAGTAAAGGGCTTTTCATTACATAAACACATATATTATGATGATGAAGATGATGATAATAATAATAATAATAATAAAATCTGTAGGAGCCTACATAGGGTTTGGACCTATGCAGTTGGTGTTCCCACGCACACGTTCTAAAT